ATCGACAAGAAACCAAATACATCAATACAAAACAATCATTCTAACATCTTGTCTTAAACATAAGTTACTACATGACAAATTGATAGACTAGATTATATTAATGACGCTGAGCATGACAATTTTTAATTCACTAGGGAGCCAGATCCATAGACTGGGCGGTCTTTTATTTGTATGGCGTGTTTGCATAGATTTAGTCTGACTCTGGGGTTATAGTTATAGATTCAGCTACTCGCAACAAGTTCCAAGTAGCACGGGCTATGGTGAGCCCGTAACTGACTCTGGGGATCTTAAAGATACTGATATATTTATTTCTGGTGAGGTGCTCACGGGTTTCTATTACATCTATCTAGGAAGAGTTTCATAAGTTATTTGTTTATTATTAGTTTAATAGTTTATTATAATTAGGTTAATACATTTGTTATCTGAGTATTTTTTTTTTTGCTAGAGCCGGTGTGCGAGAGCTCCGTTTTGCCTGCAAGTATAATGAGAACATTTGGAGCGCGCGGCGGATAGTGAACACGGCGGCAGCAGTGAAAGTGAGGTGGTGATGCGAGCGGGACGCTGGTGCCTCCGCTCTGCCACCCACCTAGGCGTGCATGATGCCTCTATATTACAGGCACGTGCCTCGACACACAGAACATCGCTCCCGTGCCAGGTAAATCCACTACGGGCTCACCATAGCCCGTGCTACTTGGAACTTGTTCAGAGTAGCTGAATCTATAACAACAACAACAACAACATCGACACACACCTGTGTACGCTAGCAGTGTCAGTCAGCAGGTGAGCGGGTCGGCCAGCAGGTGTGTGTACTCACCTATTTGTGCCTAAATGGTCGAGCATTGGCTCTTGGATGCCGCCTTTCTAGTCGCCGGTTGTTAAAAGCAATGATTCCTGTCTTATTTCCCTATCATATCTGCTTTTGAAATCTTGTATAGAGTTTGCTTCCACAACCTGCTTCTTTAGTTCATTCCAATTTTCCATTCCTCTTATGCCAAACGAAAACTTTCTAACATCTCTATGACACATTTGAGTACCCAGCCTCCACCATGTCCTCTTGTTCTTGTTGTCGTAGGTCCTCCTTGACCCTGTCACAAGTCTAGAAGCTTATATTGTTTCCAACACCCCCTCGACGGGTCGCAGTGTTAAGGAAACTTGGCTTTGACTAAGAAGTCCCTCAGCGATCTGCCTCTAATCCCTGCAACCAAGGCAGGTAATTGTGGGAAGATTGGCCACGTATGGTGTTACCCGGAGGTGGTCTGAAGACAGTCCCATAAGGTGAGGACTTCTTGGTGAAAAGCTTCCGCTATTCCTGCAAAATAGAGGAGCGGAAGGATTATCCTCTCATTCGTGCTTCGCGCCCGTGGTCCGTTCAGGAGGTCTCAAGGTGATTCAGGAGGGTGAAGAAATGATAAAGAGAATGGCAATGGTGGACAGTAGTAACACACTTCAGAATTATTCAATAATAAATACAAATTCGTCCTTCACTTATGGTAAAGGAAAGTCTACTTGGAAGGATTCAATTTACATGAGATTACGATTAGGATATAAATATATCTGGCAATACGGTGTTGATGTCAGTGAAAAAGATAAGGAGTGTAAATTATGTAGTATGCCGTACGCCCACACCTTAGAACATTATGTATTAGTGTCACCTTATTGAAAAATATAGAAATAAGGAAATAAATAGTGTACCACATCAAATTGTTTGGATGTGTGATAATGGTATAATAGACAGTATACTTAGGAGCTACAAGAATTTTGCCCCAAGAATGTAACAATTATATGCTGTACTTGCTGTATGCAATGTTAAATGGGATTCTTGTACTGTTATATGTCTATTTGTACTCACTGAATTTGTGCGCCCCTTGAGGGACTTGAAGTAGAGGGGGGTAGAAATAGCCTAAGCTACTCTATCCCTTTGAGATGTATTTATTGCTTATCTCAATAAACATACTTGAACTTGAACTTGTCTGGTTTTTGGGGTTAACTTAGTTTGTGACGAATGAAGAATCTCCTCTGGGTGGCCTCTGTTCCTGAAGTAAGTCCTTACGTCTTCCAGGGCTTCCTGAAATTTGTCGTTACTGCTGATGATCTGTTTTGTACGTTACCCAAGGAGGAGGGCAGCGATTTCTCGAGCGATAGAGGATGACTCGATGAGAAATGAAGGTATGAGTGTAGATGTGTTGGCTTGTACTGTAGTAGATAGTGGTCCAGGAAGGAAATAGTGGATTCATCCATTTCTAGGGTGAATTTCAAGTTTACGAGTATTATCCCAGTGTGTGTGTATTTACTATTTGCGCCTGCAGAATCGAGTTATTAGCTCTTGGACCCAGCCTTTCTAACTAATTTATTTTTCCTCTATTATGTCTACTACATATATTTCTCCTACAAACACACACAAACATCCCCAGGAAACAGCCCGTAGCAGCTGTCTAAATCCCAGGTACCTATTTACTGCTAGGTGAGCAGATACACCAGGGTGAAAGAAACTCTGCCCATTTGTTTCTGCCTCGGCCGGAGATCGAACCCGGAACCTTAGGACTACGACCCCAAAGCGCTGTCCACTCAGCCGCGATGTGTATATATGTGATTCCTGGTGACAACGCTACCATCAATTACAAATAACGAGCGGTTGAGCAAGTCTGCTAGCTGTGCCTAACCAAATAACGAGTGAAATTTGTGTGTTCAATGAGAGATTGGAAGGCAATGTCCCGTAGAACACCTGCCATGATGATAACGTCACGTGAGGTGTAAACCCATAACAGAGATACACTGCCAGGCGGGCTAGGCTACGGCCCGCTCCAGCGAAAGTAAACTCATTCACGGGATGACATTAATAAAAATATTATTAAGCAATACTTCTGAAATACATTACGTAATATTACAAATCAATCATATAAATATGAAGATGTTTCTTACATTGGTTCTGCAATTCTTAACCGAATATCTAACAAATCTTACCATTTGATCTTTGCCCTTACAGTATAGTTTGGTGAATCAGTTTTCTGGTTGCTCTAATTACAGTCACAAGTCGTCAAATGTTTCTTGGCATCCAACTCAGACAGATATTTTATTTCGTAGCTTCAAAAAACTTGTAAATTAGAAATTAATTCTTCGTAGTCACTCTTTTATGCCTACCAAATATTATTAATATCTCCCCATCGGTTTTTGATAACTTGTATTTTGATTAGGCTTGAAGGCACTCACTCGTTGATGACAAGTAGGACCTAAGACCTGACTAATTTAAAGATTTTGTTTCATGTTTTGTACGAGGTGTGTGACATCACAGTGACGTCATAATGTTGTGTACGAGGTTTGACATCACAGTGACGTCATACTGTTGTGTACGAGGTGTGACATCACAGTGACGTCATACTGTTGTGTACGAGGTGTGACATCACAGTGACGTCATAATGTTGTGTACGAGGTGTGACATCACAGTGACGTCATAATGTTGTGTACGAGGTGTGCGACATCATAAAGTTGTGAACAAGGTGTATAACATCACAGTGACGTCAAAATGTTCATGCCGACACAGGCCTCAGGTCCCACTGCTCATAACAGTGCAAAAGGCTGTAGTGCATTTGAAGGTATAGTGGAAGGCTATTAAAATGGAGGCCAGTGGCAAGAGTCAGTCAGCGGACAGAGTTGACAAAGGCTGCGCAAGGAAGGTGGGACAAAGTGTAAACATCGCACCAGGTGTGGTGGGGTATGATGGCTGCCTGGGGAAGTGTTGAGAGGAAGGTGTGAGGTGTGCTGCCGTGTGGCGGTACTCCTGGTGTGTCGTGTTGCTCTTCCATGCCATAAAAGTGAGAATGGGGTATGGTATTGGATTGTTTAATTCGATCCCGCACTTTTATACCCCATGACTGATGATTGTTTCTGTGTGAGGTGCCGGAAGCAAATGGAAATCGATAACAGCGACTGGCAGGGGAACTTTGTGACAACATTCCCGACCAACCTCAGGTGTGAGCTACATACACGTTATGTAATGATGGATGAATAACACTTCCCCTCTCCACACCCGCGACGACCCGGTCCATGGTTCGCCAGTTCCCGCCACAACCCCCGCCATGCATCCCCTCCGGCGCACTGCTAGCTCCGCCTGTGTTTACCCGGCCTAACGACACGCTCCTTGAGTTCGAAAGTTGCTATAAAGGCTGAATGTACATTCGTCCTTGCAGTCCTTCACACGGGTCCTCCGAGGCGACATCCACACCAGGAGCCGGTACCAACTCATGTTGAAGCATCACAGTCGCAGCACGAGTACAATTTGCCGAGATCGACGAGGCTGAGTTCGAAGGGTGCCTGCCTGATAGAGTTGAAGCAAGACACCTTAGCAGGTGTCAACTGTAGTGCCAGGCCACTCCTCTCCGAGGCTACCTCACAAGGACACATCAGAGCCTTCAGCCACTCTTGCAGGATGGTTCAGGCCTTGTTTAAGGTAAGTCAACTAACAGTGTGGGAGACAATGGCTTACATTATCGCTACTTTATGCAAGGGGGGCGGTGGAGGCCGTGCTTATACCAGTGTACTTGGTGGGCCTCTTAATTATTTCCTATTATGATATATATGTATATATATACATACCTGTATATATATATATTTTAACACAAGGGATACCTGTGAAGATATCTCTGCTTCGTGTCAACAGGCCCTTTGCAGAGTTGAAATTAAGCCTTACTCTACTCATTTTCCCTGGAACACAATCCGCCAATTAGCTTACAACCAATTTCCAAATTATTGCTGAGTGAACAGTCCCTGTTCACCCAGAAATTGGGTGTAGGACAATTGCCCAAACATTCTACCCTGCCCAGGACTCAAACCCGGCCGGCAATTTGGTAGTGAATGTAGTTAACCAGTTGGTTACCTGGCGCTCTTATATTCTCAGGAGCATGTCTATACTCTTAGGGGGTTTATTATTACTATGTGAGTTCCAGTACTTGTAAACCACATTAATACCACTAACAACGTTTGGGTTGACGACACAGGCCCAGAGAGCAGCGGCAGCGACCATAGGAGCCGTGATGGTGACCCTGGCGCAGCTGGTGACTATCGCGCAGCTGGTGACCATCGCTCAGCTGTCGACGGCGCAGTCCATCCAGATATCCCCGTCCATCAAGTACGTTAACATCACAACTGTTGGGTTCTCTCGGGTTCTACTTGTTCTGGCTCATCGCATCGGTATGTTTATCTACTTCAGATTCTCATTTTCGGGTTCTGTTTGTGCTATACCCCCTCCGACTCCCTTTCTGGGGCTTTCCTGTGATTCTTGGCATCTGCCTGAGTTCTTCGTCTGGGTCACTGCCTAGCTTCTTTGTCTATAATTTTGTAATATGAATTTGTATACCATATTTTAAAAGTTCTTCATTACTCTATGTGCGTGTTCTCCGGCAGAAATGGCGGCGTGACTTTCCCGCTCTTCTCGCCCTCCGTGCTCTACGACCAGAGGATGGCTGAGTCGTCAGCCTCTCAGGCCGTGGTCCTGCCCGCCCCTCACCAGGTAGTTCCTCTCCTAATCCTGCTTGTTTTGTCTCCCCTTCTTCCTCTCTCCCCCTCCCCTCTCTCTCTCTCTTATCCTTCCCCCTCCCTCACCATTCCGCTCCCTCGCCCTTCTACTCTCTCTCACGCGTTGATTACTTTTGTTCTGTTCTCATTCATCCTTTCATACTCTTCCTTACTCTCACTCCCTTCTAATATCTCTCTCACTCTACTCTCCCACACTTACTCTCACCCATTCCGGCATTGCCATTCTCCTTCTCTATGCCTTACATCATCTGCTCTGTCCGTCCCGTTTGGGTTTTCTTCTCTCTCTCTCTCTCTCTCTCTCTCTCTCTCTCTCTCTCTCTCTCTCTCTCTCTCTCTCTCTCTCTCTCTCTCTCTCTCTCTCTCTCTCTCTCTCCTATTTCTATCCTCCAAACTTTTCACTTTCTCTCCATCACAACAAGAACGTCTCCCATTTCCTACGACTCTCGTTATCTCCATTTCTCGCCACCTACGTCCCCTGCACCTTGACACCTACTTCTGACAGTTACGTCTCCCCGTCATCTGTCCCCCGTCACCTATATCTCCCGTCACCTACGTCCCCTGTCACATACTTTCACTTCACCTTCGCCATTAAATTGACCTTTCACCTTGAGTAACCTCCCTGTCATTCCTTCCCGGTCTAATATCCCGTCCTGTATGGCCTTCCCGTCCCATCCCTCACCCGTCTGTTGATCACGTGAACTGTCAATAACAACGTTACTACATACGACAGGACACAAACGGGGGAGACTACGGTAGATCACCCACGACTAGACCCCTCCACGCCTGACAGACCGTCCAACACATTACTAAACTGTTATCGACTAAAGGGAAGTGCGCATCTTCGTAAGTATTGTGTCTCTTTGTGTTGATATCTTTCCAGCTAACTGCTATCGTGCCCTCTGTTGGGACATGAAGCAGCTCTCTGCTGTACCCAAGGCAGTGACATCCGACGACCTGATCTGGTGACAGCTGAGTGACACGACTCTTACTACCACCTCACCAACTATGGAATGACTTCAGCTCACGACTCCGAACATACAATTCCTTTTCACTCCACAGCTAATCATTCGTAGACCACAATAGATTGTTAAGGGAGAGAATGCTAGACAGTTAGCTAGGCTAACAGCTAATATTCCACCTGAACTGTTCTGCCTAACTTCCCGGTACCTTTTCGTTGCTAGTGAACGGGCCATCAAGTGTGCCCAAACGTATCTTCTGGCCCGGGAATCGAACCCGGGACCATTCGGTTGCGAGCCAACAGCGCTGATCTGAACGCTGTGCTACGTGTCATAAACGCAAGTTTTTTCTGATAGTCAGTTTTCACTACGTAACCATATCATTAATTTACGATTAGTTCGTTGTTACAAAGTTGAAACAACGTAATAACACTTTAAAAAAACCTGTGAACATGTGTGTGTTTGCTGGGGTAAGGACTTCAGTTTTGAAGCTAATTTTAGCACTAATGGCGTATAAATATAACTGCTATTAGCAGTTGTATACAGGTACCATTAGCAGACTGGTGTATACAGGTCCTATTAACACACTGTTGTATACAGGTCCCATTAGCAGTGGTGTAGTTAATTACTATTAGCTGACTGGTGTATAAATATCATTAGCAGGTGTATACAGATAGCATTAGCAGACTGGTGAATACAAGTACTATTAATGAACTGGTATATAAGGTACTATTACCAGACTGGTATATATATAGGCACAATTAGAAGACAGGTGTATACAGATACCACTAACAGACAGGTGTATACAGATACCACTAACAGACAGGTGTATACAGATACCACTAACAGACAGGTGTATACAGATACCACTAACAGACAGGTGTATACAGATACCACTAACAGACAGGTGTATACTGGTACCATTAGCAGACAAGTGTATACAGATATTCAGTAACAGACAGGTATCACTAAGTCAGGTGTATACAAGTACCACTAACAGACAGCTGTAGACAGGTATCACTAACAGGCAGGAACCACTAAGAGACAGGTGTACACAGGTACCATTAGGATACAGGTGTATACAGGTACCATTAGCAGTGGTGCTGCCAGTGTCCGCCACTGACCAGTATTATCCCCCGTAGGACCGACGGCGCTCCTCCTACCGCTCCGCCGACACCGGCCAGGTGAGTGGCTCTCTTGTCTGCCCTCTCGTATCTCCAGCTGACCTCCTCCCTCGCCACGCTCATTTAGGGTCAGCGTGCTTCTGTAAGCTTCCTAAAGCTGTGCTTGAGCTGCTGTGAGTACGCGAGCGAGCTCCACACTGAAAAACAAACGTGATTCGCCATATTTATCACATTCCTCACAGTCACTTTCTGTTACGTCAGATGTGATGAGATTGCGTGAGTAGGTAGAACGAGCTCAAAGTTATTTATGAAACAGTTAATCTGGGTTTCTGATCTGACAGTTAACTAGTAATTCTTCTTGACATACGAGAAGTCTCATAATTTTTATGCTTAGAAAGTTGAAAATATCAAATACTGACGTCAAGTGAGATAGAAGTCCAACCTGAAACTTTTTATATAGGCCTGGGTATGCTTGCAAATTAACCTTGATTAGCTAACCAAGCCTAGCGGAGCCATGCGGCCCAGTGTGCGACAGCACATTAAGGGGCATTTCGGCCCTCTTACTCCTTAGCGATCAGTTTTCAGCATCATGATGATTAGATGTTACTCTATTAAGTATCGGTATTTCTGCCTGACGTGACGAATCGTATACTTGAGACCCTGACTTAAACCTTGACGACTTCATCTAAGGAGTTTCAGACAAGTCAGAAAATCAACACCGGTAAGAATGTCTACCTAAAATGTATTTCGTTTTCTGACCTGTTGATGCAACGTACACGTGACATTGGTTAAATGAGACCTTTAACCTCACACAAATCAGTTATTTATGAAAATAATATTGGGTGACTGAGGAAGGAATGTTTCGACTCTGAACTTATTATGACTGTCACTAAATATATATCAACTCGAACCTCGGTTGTAGACATTTCCTCTACTTCAAAATAATACCATGCATATGCTTGATTGTCTTAAACCTCTCTATTAAGTATTTTTCGAGCATTTAATCATAATCATAAAGACATCTTATAGTCTGAATTTTAACTTAATGTGTTTGACTCTGCTAACTATATTCATTAGGCTTCTCATTATTTTCTTCTTGGAAAAGTTTTAATTTGAGTAAATAGGTCTATATATGCTATCAACGATTGACTAACATTAATTCACTATTAATTTGATGTCATATTTTTGTTTGTTACATTCTTGTACAGCCACTAGTACGCGTAGCGTTTCGGGCAATCGTTTTTTCATCCAAGTACACGAACAGAGGCTACAGTCATAAATCCTCCCCGGCCAGGATACGAACCCATGTGCGCTCGCGGAACGCCAGGCGAGTCCGAGACTGTGGTGTAGTGGTGAAATTTCACTACACGAACTTCATTATGTGTTCCGAGCTTTACAAATACTTCACAAGTTATTGTACTGTATTTCAGATTTTAACAATGTTAAAATATTTGATTTTGTCTAAGCCTCATATATATATGAACTAACTAATTCCCCTTTTTCGGGACATGAAGTTGTATCGAGGTCCTCCCTAGGTCAATATATTGACCTACAGGATGTAACCCCAAACAGTTGCCTAACTTCCAGGTACCTATTTACCACTAGGTGAACAGAGGCATTAGTTGAAACGAAACATGCCCAACCATTTCTGTCCTGCTCGGGACATTAAAGTTTGCTATGATTTTGATTTAGTATTGATTCAAAATCCCTCCAACTAGAAACTAACAACCCGTCCTCTGAACTAATACGTCTCTTTGTGAATGTTATGATCCCCGACGTATAAAATAATTGAAAAAAAATCAGCGTTTTCGATGCAATGGAGGTTTGGATAGATGGATGGCTTGAGTTCGTACGTTCCTGCTATGGTTAGCAATTTGTATTTTGTATTTTACAAAATACATTGTACGTCCTTGTATAATAGGCTACAATTTCTCGCAGCAGTGCAGTGTAGGCCACAACCTACCTCAGCAGTTCAGTGTAGGCCACAGCCTACCTCAGCAGTTCAGTGTAGGCCACATACCCTTCATCGTTCAAAACTACGCTATAAACCCCTTCAGTAACCCAGACCAAAATACCCAAACTGGTCATTACTGGCCCACTAGGCACTCCCCCCCCCCCCCTCCAAACATGTGCAGTATTTGCACTAAAGCTTTCCCCAGACAGCTCAATATTAGGTCACAAGTATCCCAGCGGCTGAGCATAACGCCATAGATCACTGACCAGCAACAAGGTGTCCACGGTTTGAGCTCCGCTTCTTCCCGCAGATCAAGAGAGTGTCCGACTACAGCGTCGTGTCCCCTGACTTCCACCCACTTGACTACGCGAACGACACCGCCAAGTTTGATTATGCTTCTGGGAAAACGTTCTTTGGTATGTTGTAACAATACCTTGTGTTTCACGCTGTTGTTATGGCTCGTTGAATACATTAAGTGTATAGGCGGACAAATTATGTTTATATAAATTATTTTCTGGATAAATATATATTTAATCACCTTCGTCTGTGGGTAGAACATGTTGTGAGTTGTAATTTACGTAACATTCCATGGTAATAATTGATGTGACTTCATGAGAGGGTTAAGTCAGAGCATAATGTGAGAATGGTCTTCAGGATGTTGCATCATGCTTATCATACCTGCGATGCGAGGCTATAACTGGAGCAAGTGTAACCAATATCCTCATCATTCACAGTCCTTTCTCGCGAGTGTGAGTGGTAATTCCTAAGCTAACGATTCGTGTTTCTTGGGCAAAATATTATATTTTGCCAACAAATCTTAAACTGCTTCACTGATGAGTTGTTGTGAGCACAAACACGCAAGACAAGTCCTGGGTACGCAATCATTTTTCCCTTTAATATCTAGAAATTGATTGTGCCAATCCGTTTACACAAGCTACGGAGTTGACTTGCAGGTCCATCTGTCAACTTGTCCTGGTGCTATTATACTCGTTTTGAAATCTATACTATTCTTTACTAGGGGAACCATTTTTCACAAACTTTACTTGATAATAAACCTCCTTGCATTAAATTCTACGGTTTGGTTACACGACATTTATAATTATTGTGTTACCAAACTGTAGCATTTGGCATGAGGTGCTTTATTTCATCGTTTCCTGTCGCCTCCCGCGCCACACTGTCACTACCCAAGTTATTATGTAACTCGTCCTCCAGACACAGATACAGAGCCCGAGACCTCCAGCTATTCCTACCCGCCGATGAACTACAAGAACCAGAGCGGTCGCTTCTTCACCTTTGGCTCCGGCGCCAAGACCCTGGACGTGAGTATCAGTTCTGGTGCCTGTGGGACACTTGGCGTCAGTGCCAGACACTCACTACCTTAATGGTATGAAGACAAAATATCATGATATAAAACTGAGGAGAGAGGAAGAGGGGCGTGAGCTTTGACACCACTAACAATCACTCTTGGCTTCAGCTTGGTCTCAGCTTCATTGTGCCCTTCGTATCCATCCCGACGTCGTCACTACTCAACATCGGGGAGAACCTCGGGGCCACCACCAGCACCGCCCTCAGTTCCCTCATGTCCATCAACTGGGCCTCTATCATCTCCATTGGTGCGCTGATATTAATCGCCTCTCTCCTCCTGCCGCAGTTGGCCGCCTGGGTCTCCACCCTCATCTCAGGCGGCACAGGCGGCTACTCCAACTCCTACGGCCGGAATATTGAGCGTGGTAGGTTCACACCTCCAGATATTCACACTCGCATCGGAGCCATCAATGGCTGGTTGTAGATGACTGCTTTTTCAATCGTGTAATAATCGTTTATCCTGTATATATACATTTACTCGCTCAATGTGTTTTCTCGCCATTCTTCATCTCTCTCTTAATAAGAAGCGCTACTCCTGGTTCTTCTCTTTACGGGCTATTCATGCCTATGAATAGCCTAATCGGCTATTCATGCCGATTAAGCCTCTTGGGTGGCTTAAACTTCATCAATCAGTGTTGTTCTGTTTTAGCTACTCAGAATGAAATGTCCATGTAGCACGGGCTATAGTGAGCCCGTAATTGAGATCGATTATTTGCGATAACCTTGTTACTGTAATATTTATGTCAAAGATTTAAATTGTTTTAATATTTATATGATCCGTCTGTATTTCAAGTAACATTCTCATATCAAGATAAAATAGAACATGAAACAATGGATATAAATTGGGTAAGTATAGATTTAGGAAATACGTAGAAAACTGTTGTTTGGAAAGAGGGTTGTTTTTTTATGTAACAAATTACCGGGTAACATGTTGGACGCGGATGGTTTCAAGCGCAGGTTAGACATATATGAGTGAGTTTGGGGGGAATATAAACAGGAGCTGCCTCGTATTGGAAAATAGGCCTTCAGTAGTTTTCTGTATTCTTAGTCATTTTGTATATCATACATTTGCTAGCCATGTCAAACATTCACCTCTGACGCCGTCTCTCTGGTGCAGATGGAGGCCTGCTGCCAGTGGCCCCCTTCACCTCTATCCTCAGCCAGCTAGATGATGCCCTCGCTCAGTACGACCTCGACTCCACGTCGTGCATGCAGCGCTCCGTCTGCACCTACGTCGCCGAGTCTGAGCTTAGTGTCAAGGAAGGTGACGCTGACTCCATTGAGATGATTGTGTCAGGGCTGGCCAGGTGAGTACTCCCTAACCCCCCCCCCTCATCTTCCCAGCTGTTGTTGTTATAGATTCAGCTACTGGGAACAAAAAGTTCCGAGTAGCACGGGCTATGGTGAGCCCGTAGTGGACTTACCTGGCACAGGAGCGGGGCTGTAACTTGACCCCCCCCCTTCCCAGCCTTCCCTAACTTTTTGGTCATCGTACCTGGTTCCGCCAGGTGAGTCTCCTCACTCCACAACTCCTTCCTACCCACATCTTTTAAGACAGTATTCATTTTTTGTCTTAAACAAATTGTATTTTACTTTATATATATTTTGTTTTCTTTCCGAAACAGGAGTTTGTGGCTGCAGACGCTGGTAGGGAAGACCTCTTTGACGGAGGCTATGGAGATGGGTCGCTCTGGTGCAAACTGCCAGGTCCAGTACCCAAAGTGCCCCTTCTCCCTCACCGGTGTCCTCAGGTTCCTCGCCACCTACGCCTCCCTCAATAGTTGAGGTACCAGGTTTCCAGCAATCTTCGCCTCCCTCAGCAGTTGAAGTACCAAGTTCCTCGCTATCCGCGCCTTCTTCAGCAGTTTAGATACCAGGTTCTTCACTATATACGGCTCTCAGCAGCCGAGGTATCGGGTTCTTCACAACATACGGGTCTCAGCTGCTGAGGCCAAAACGCTTTACGAGAGATTCTCTTAGGAATATGATTTTAGACTAGTCATCCTCAGTCCAATTTTTTTTTAACATTTGAGCTGGTCTTAGATGAGGTTTTCTTTTGAGAAATGATTCCTTATTGGGCTTGCATTATGACAGTGATGGTAGGAGCTGCTTCTAGCCAGCAACTCAACTAGTGTACACTACTGGCTGTTCTTTCCAGTAGTCAGGATCCTCATAGATCAATGTTTTGACGATTTAAATTGCTGTTATCCCGTCCATAGCCTCTGATTATTTTATAACTTCTTGCCTTATGTCACCTGTGAATGATGCTGCAGTGGATCTTTGGATTGAACACGTGGCAGCAATCTGTCGACTCAATAAGCCTTCCTGATGAAGGATAACGATGAATGATTGATTTTCCCGCGGTGGCTGGGGTCCCTTCATGTCAAGTCTGAACTGATGCAACATCGATGCTTCAGTAACACAAAATTAAAGTTCAAACCACCAGAAACATATACATTTTTTGCGAAAAAGATTGCAATAAATGGAATGTTACATGATGTGACTCCACAAAGCCGATCTTCAAATTACAAACTATCACAGGAAGTGTGATCATTCTCATCACTGTGGCCTCACATGTGCTGTCACCCTCACACTTTGTTTCGAAACTGAATAAAGAGAAATAATTAAATAGTTCTTACAGGATGCAAATCGTCTGGTCAATGATGCTGTTTAGCCTTGTCGGCTAAAATTTAGGTTTACATTATTTATATGTAATATAGTATCTGTTGTTTCTTATTTATATAAATAATTCCCTGTATATAAGTCAGGTGGAACAAGTTTATATTATTGGTCATTGTTATTCTCATCAGTGCACACTTCACAATTATTTAGATGTTCATCGTCAGCCGCTAATTACAAGAAGAGTTATGGAATAGAACAAGTTTCAAGAACATAAGTATTCACCTACGGTACTTGCAAGAACAATTAAATAAAAATAAAAATAGGAGCTGCGTCCTACGGGCCAACAGCCCTTCTGCAGTTTCCTTAATTCTTATGTTCTAAACAAATAGTATATTAAAATTTATATAAATACAATGTATACGATAGGATTAATAATTTATTTGAATGCAAAAGCAGGAGTGGATTACTGCATTTTCGTACCAGTTCTTCTAGGCAGCAGCACTCAGCCGACACAGTGTATAGAACTGAGAACATGAACTTTGAGAACAACTGCTGGATAAACCCAACTCTGTACAGGGATGCTACCTTCACTGCTTAACTATTTTCAAACAGAAATTCAAGTATTTTTGTCGTGTTGAATGAAAACATTTGCTGCCAGGGTATTTTGGTACCTTAATTTTAAATTGATTTTAGCTTACTTAACGTAACCCAACATAAAAGGACGCATTATTCTCCTCTCTATAAAAAATATATGAAAGTTTGTGAACAAGGTATTAAGAAACTAGCCAGTTTTGTATACACTCCAATTATAAATTACTTATTTTAAGACTATTAATACATTCATTGAGCATTTATATGACGAATATTTTAAGAATTTTTTAAAATGAATTATTCTCTTGTGTTACCGGACTACTGATAATGGACTTGGTCCGACACATTAAAAAAAAATTAAAATGAAAACCAACTATGATTCTTACCCGAACCTAATTAGTCAACACATACACACATGTGTGTGGACTATATATTCCATCCACTTGGAGGCACTCATGATCTGAGTACACTCGAGAGGTGCATCCTGCTTCTCGGTGAATATGGCCAGAGTGCTGACAATAAATGTCTCAAAAGATAAACTGACTTCACCCTAACATTGTAGAAAACGAAGAGAATTTAATTCTGCTAATAATTTACTAAAACTACCAAGCCATCGTAACTAATATTATCTAATGGGGAGAAAACTTTGTTCGTATGCATAATAAATCGCTAATTTGAACTTTAAACCCGACCCTTCAGGGCTCGAACTTTTGCCGCCATGGAGACCATTCAATCTTCTGCATACTTTGTGAAAGAATGTGTAAATTCAGCATGTTCAAAATGTCGAAGAAAACTCTTTTAATCTCTTCTCCGCGAGTGTAGCGGGGTAATGAATGTGCCTCAACACAAATTAGCAAATGCACTCAAGCCCTCATTCCATATACCTCTGTGACTTATGAAGAATGTGTAAACATTAGAAGAACCGAAGACAAGGATTTGAACCTAAACCAAGAACTATGCGAGACCTCTTCAACATTACCGAAAATTTGTCATTAATGCGTAATGGCCACAACTTGTGACCCTTGTGAACATTAATCCTCGTCAACTTCATGAACAATATTGTCTTTAGAAAATAACTTAAATTTTTCACTTGGAATATGAGAAGTGTGAGTAAGAGTCTTTGTTCTCATGTATGTTGGTGCCGCTGACTCTCAGGCTATGTATCATTTCCAAATGTTGGTTCACATGACGTCAGAATCTTGATGTATGTTAAAAGTAGCCTACAAGTAAAGAGGTTAAAATCCACAAGTGACAACTCACACGTTACTAGTGGTTTCAAATTGCTAAAGCAACTTTTTTTTTATTTAGTTAATGTGGATGTAAGGTGTCACCAAATGGTGGAGGCTTCTCTTCCAAAAATCACCAGCAGCTCTGAAACTATTGTTATGGATTATTTTAATGCTAGATATACTAGCTTGGGTGACGTCAAGGCAAATATAAATGGTAAGGTGTTTGTAAAATATGTCAGGGACAATAATGTAAGTATTCAACTTTAATTTGACTCAAAGTCACACATCTCAGGGATTATCTCATTGCTCACGGTCTCATCTATAATGCTGTCAACTGTACATGAATTACAGTAATTAGTAATCATTTTGCCATCCTCGATTTAAATACCATAAATAATGCCAAACCTCAAAGTTTTAAAAATAAAATATTCAATATCCCTGAAAATTTACACATTCACTTTGTACAGTATTTCTGAATTGTATAACTGATGCTCTTATACTACCGTTAATGCATTATATGAGAATTGTGTCACTAAAGTAACAGATTACTGTGATACTATTGTAAAATCCACTAGAACCAAAACAGCAATCAAGGAACAGTGGCGGTGGTTCTCTGATTCCTGCAGATTTCACATCCTAGTACTCCTCAGCGCGCCCACCACTCTCCTGGCCTCTTGTACCACCAACTGTGTAACTATTTTATTGACTCAGGTGTTCTGGACGACATCCTAACAATTTACCCAAAATTTGCTTGTCCATTTTAAAGAATGAAGAACAATTTTTATTTATATTACTTCTAAGCTGTATCACTTATGAACCCATCCCTGCCCTTGTGTGGCAGTGCACAATAGAAAGTTGTTTTCACATATCCATACATTAAAACATTGATTGTAACCATGATATATATGTGCTCCAGCCTATAGTTTAGACCTATTGTCTTATGTATGACCCTCTGTCCTGCGTGACAGTGAATACTAGCATTATCCACAATTTAATAAGACTATCAAAATCCTCAGATTAGGCAAAATTGTAATTAATTTTGTCAATAAAGATGTTAATAATAATAAACCACTCTCCTACAGGCTACGCTGACATGTTACTCCAACAACATGCAAGCACTGCCAGTGTAAAAAACTACTCTTGGATATGCAACACCATCTTGCTAGTACCAATATATATAAACCGAAACTTCAACATTGAAAATGTCTGTGGTGAAACATCTCAACGTCTAATTATTATTATTATTATTATTATTATTATTATTATTATAAGGGATAGCCAGAGTGATGTTCAAGATATATTTCCACTCAAGTGCTGTCTTAAGATTGTTGATTTTATTATCAAAATTAGTACAATCTTTTGATGTGATGCAAATTAGCCAATTAATGCAGTTAAGATTTATCTTTAGGCGATTCAATGAATTTATTTGTTTTTGTTTGAGAGGATGTAGGGAATGGGTGGGAAGAGGTGGGTGTAGAGATCTGGGTGGATATGAGTGGAGAGTGCTGGGTAAAAAGAGGTGGGGGAGGATACTTGGGAGGGAATAGGTGTGGTGAACTTAGTGGGTATGGGCACTCTGCCTGTGACACGCACATCATAGTATCTGGATTAATAACCTTGTTATTACTGCATGTCAAAGCCTGCACCTCGTGACTAATATCAGAAGACGTGCAGTGGTAATAGTGTGGATCACACCTGTTGGTGCATCTGGGAAAGTAGCCCGTTTTCTGACACACGAAGGTGTCCACACAGTGGGCAGCATTGCCTTCAGTCGTAGTGGTGGTGCCTCCTCCACCTGTACAAGGCTGGTTACATGTTGCTTCTTCTGAACATACCCCTGCATTTTCATCAAAATTTCCTGTGGCGCACTGATATAAACTGGTTTCCTCTGGGTAACCCTCATATTCACAGAAGTAGAAGTTGGTGCAGTTGGTTGGGTCAGGAATCTGTGTGTAGCGCTCTGAGCAGTAGGCTATGCACCCGTCACAGCATTGGGACTTGTCCGCCGTACAACCAGTTCCGTTGAAATAAGGTGTACTGTCGCTACACGTAATAGGATGCGGTGGATTACCTGCTACACATACATAAAAGGTGCTGCAGTCGGTTCGATCTGCTACTACCTCGTAATTAGGGACTGTTTCGGAACACGAAAATTTGCATACTGGTTGACATAAACCACACGTCCCACCATCAGCAACACATTTCTTCGTATCAGCATCAAATAATTGACCTTCGGGACATTCTTCTGTAAAATCAGACACTTTCCCATTCGCTAAACAAATGTAATATTTTTGACAGTTGGTTGGGTCAGGGACGTGACCTCCTGGAGCAGTACCATCACAGGATGGTGTACAGCTGACAGCCTCGCCCCGGGACCATACACCCTGCAACACACACAAGTGAACACCGTCTTAGCATGACGCTAATTAATTATTATTATCAATAAAATACAAATTCATCATTATGCGCGTGTTACGAATCATTAAGTTATTATTATGCTGTACAACAGGAATAACAGGAACGTTTCTGTAGTGTTTTGGGTGTTTGCTCCCCCCCCCCCACACGCACACACACTCAGGCACGCACGCACGCACATGCATGCACACAGGAGTGAGGGGAATGAAGAAAGAGAGAGAGAAAATGGGAGGGAAGCAGACTCGCTGCCAATCAAACAGCCCGGGTGTCGTAATCATAAGGGGCCCGGATTCGTTTCCCGGCCGAAACAGGAACAAATTGACAGTGTTTCTTTCACTTAGTAGAAAATAGGTACCTGGGAGATAGACACGTGCTACGGGCTGCATCCTGTGCATGTGTGTGTTTTCAGTATATGCAGGCACAAATAGGTGAGTGCACACACACACACACACACACACACACACACACACACACACACACACACACACACACACACACACACACACACACACACACACACACACACTCACCAGCAGCTTAACGAACAAGAGGACACAGAGTCAAGCTAAGAAAACTGAGATACCGAAAAAATATTGGAAAAGTTTCTTTTACAAACAGAGTTTTAGACGGTTGGAACAAACTAAATGAGAATGTGGCGGAGGCGCCAAAACCGTCAGTAGTTTTAAAGTGTTATACGACAAAGAGTACTGGGAGGACGGGACACCACGAGCGTAGCTCTCATCTTGTAACTACACTTAGGTAATTACACAAACACACACTGACTGTGGCCCTCGACCTGGATTCACCGGATTGTGTGTGTCTGGCATCTGCTTCACTGGATTATTTGTCCGTATATGTGCCTGTCACTCATTTTATTGTATTATATGTGAGTACGTCTGTCACTGGCTCAGCTATTATTGTCCGCTGTACACTTATATGCTGATGTAAACAGGAGTGGCGCCAGACTCACCAGGATAAGACCAAGGTAGAGGGCGAGTGGTAACATCTGGTGAGGTGGAGGACAACTGATACTGCACTTCCTTCTTCGGTCATATTAGTACTAGAGATAAGGAAATGCTTCTAGGCTGATTATATTTCTCTGTGATATGTATAATCAGCCTTAAGGACAAAACATAATTTGTCAGCTACTTATCTTGAATGTCTTCTAAATTACTGTTGTTGACCTCAAGCATATTAGGTTATTTATCCTTATGGTGAAAATACTCTTCATATGTGACGCTTCTTTATAACTGGTTCGTGTCCCATGTGTGACTTTCCCATGGAGGGAGGCGATAACATGTGAAGGTTGCGAAACACCGTAGCCTAACATTTCTCTGGGTTGTGAGACGCAGTAACTTACACTTGCCCGGGTTGTTAGATACAGTAACCTACGCTCTCCCGGGTTGTGAAATGCACTTTCACAGGTTGTGAGATGCAGTAGTTTAAACTTTCACAGGTTGTGAGATGCAGTAGTTTACACTTTCTCAGGTTGTGAGATGCAGTAGTTTACACTTTCTCAGGTTGTGAGATGCAGTAGTTTACACTTTCACAGGTTGTGAGATGCAGTAGTTTACACTTTCTCAAGTTGTGAGATGCAGTTTACACTTTCACAGGTTGTGAGATGCAGTTTACACTTTCATAGGTTGTAAGATACAATAGTTTACTTTCATAGGTTGTAAGATACAATAGTTTACTTTCATAGGTTGTAAGATACAATAGTTTACACTTAGCCACCTTGATTTCCCCTATTACCATTGATAAACCACTGGGCTGGTAAGGGCGGTATCAGGTCATTGTACTGAGATATTTGTATTTCGATCACTCGGTGTTAAGTGTTGCTCCAGTACTGTATCTTTTTGTAAACACTTTAATAAGCTCTAAGTAAGTAAGTAATTATCAAAAGAAGAAGGCACCAAGCCGGGGAGACTGTGTAGCAATGTCAAAATACAAAATACATGAAAAAATTTAAGAAAAAAACGGAGAAAGATTTTTTCTTATCAGATTCCGTTTGTTCAACAACATAACTGTTTTGGGTGGCCTTGTAACTGCGGAAAAGAAAGACAGAAAAAATCAATACAATGCATTCAATGCAGTCCCCGTGGTGTAGTGGTTAAGTTTCGCGAGCCCTTTGTCCAGGGTTTGTATCCTGGCCGGGGAGGATTTACTGGGCGCAAATCCTTAACTGTAGCCTCTGTTTAACTTAACAGTAAAATGTGTACCTGGTTGTTAAATGATTTTTCGCGAGGTCGTATCCCAGGGAACATAGGATTAAGGACTTGCCCGAAACGCTACGCGTACTAGTGGCTGTACAAGAATGTAAGAACTCTTATATATATACATAAAAAAATACAAGAACCGAAGTTCCAGTGGTGTGTGGCAGCACAGAAGCTAAGCTGAAGGGACAGATCATCGAAGCAGACAATGCAAGCTGAGAGACAAGACTGTTTCGATGATCTGTGACGTATTCGATATGTTGTTGTTGTTACAGATTCAGCTACTCGGAACAAGTTCCAAGTAGCACGGGCTATGGTGAGCCCGTAACTTACCTGGCACAGGAGCGAGGCAAGTAGCACGGGCCATGGTGAATCCGTAATGGACTTACCTGGCACAGGAGAAAAAAGTATTCGATATAGACGAGTGTTTAAGTGCCCCCAGGAAGGCACCCATTTCAACTGAGGCCACGGTTGGGGCCTTGGACCTGTTTCAAGTGAGGTTCATTTCACCTGAGTGCTGGACGCCTAGTGTCAAGGTATGCCGTGAATGGGCTCCTGCGTCAATTACACAGCCCAACACTGATGTCCTAGACCAAGGTTTCTGAGTGAGGGAGACTCAGACAGCCTTTTCCACCGTCATCGTGTGCTACTTTGATTTATTTATATACAAGAAAGTGCATTGAAATGTGAAAGTGCATACATTGGTGATTGTAATGCAAGGCCACTAACACGTATAGCGTTCCCCGCAGGTCCTTAAGCTAATCAATAAATGTAATAATAGGTACTTTGTAACAAAATTTGAATTTAACATAATAACTACATTATAAATTAAAATAATAAATTACATAGATGAGATTGCATTTTGTAGTAATAAACTGGGTCAATGGGTAGCACAAGATACTGCGTTGTTAGCAGCACAAAGTGGGATACTATGAAAGTGAAATTATGTACTTTTTGGTTCTACTTTTGAATAAGGCATAAGTTAGACAATATTTTTTTAATTCGTTATGGAGTAAGATCCATATATTGGGCTCTTTTACTTGCACGGAGTGTTTGTACAGATTTAGTCTGACTGGGGATATTAAATAGGTATTTATTTATGGTGAGATGCTCATGGGTTCTATTACATCTATCAATTAAGAGTTTCAAATCAGAATTAGATACTAGCAATAAGGTTTTGTAATTGTAAATAGCATAAGAGAATGTGTGGAGTGAGTGTATGTTTAGCATGTTTAGGGATTTAAACAGTGGGGCTGTGTGTTGTCTGAAGGCACAGTTATAGTTCTGATGGCAGATTTTTGCTTGGTGATGATGGGTTTGCGGTAGTTTGCAGTGGAGAAACCCCATGCATAGATATCGTATGTAAGATACGGATAGGTTAGCGTGTAGTATAATGCGAGGAGAGCAGATTTGGGAACGTAATATCTGATTTTTGAGAGTACACCGTCAGTTTTAGGCTATGTGTTGTATGTGGGTGCTGACGTTAGACTCTCGTCTATAAAGGCCAAGGAACTTTCCATAATTTTTAAGGACAATGTTAATATTGTCTATCTGAAGATGTATTTGTTTGATGATTTACTTTCAAATAAAATGTAGTAGGTCTTTTCTATGTTTAGTGTGAGTTTGTTAGTTGACATCCATGAGTGGACTTTTTTAATTCGTTATTTATAATATTATTTAGTGTGTGGGTTGGTGTTTGAACAGATGAAAGGTAGAATCGTCAGCAAATAGTATAGGTTGACGAACTTTAGACATTTGGCAAGCCATTGATGTATTAATGATATAGGAGAGGTCCAAAGATGCTGCCTTGTGGCACTCCTACGGTTAATGGTAGAGTGTGGGAGGTTATGTCATTGATGGCTACATATTGGTGTCTGTTATTAAGCTATGATCGGATATGGTACAGAGCAAGGTCTCGGATTCCAGAATGATGAAGTTTAATTTAGAGGTAGCTATTTTTTACGGTATCAAAAGCTTTTCTCAGGTGAATGAAGAGGCCAATTGGGAACTCATTTTTATCAAGAACTGTATAAATTAAATCAAGCAAAGTAATAATAGATAATTGCTACAACAGATCAGAAAGCAAACTGGCTATGACTTAATATGTTGAATTTTGCATGGTAAGTGTAAAGATGGACATAAATAATTTTTACAAATATTTATGATAATATTGGTAGGCCCGACATTGGTCTGTAATTGTTTGTTAGCTGTCTCGCCTCCTTTATGAACTGGAGTTACTTTCATTTTTTAAGGATATCAGGAACAGTATAACACTCAAAAGATTTGTTGAATAGCAGAGCTGTGGCTGGTGCAAGGACATAAGCGGCCCTTTTGTATACCATAGTCGGTATGTCACTAATGCCCCCAAGCTTTGGGTTTAAGTGAGTGAATTTTCTCAAAGATACATCATGCAATTGTGATTTCATCACCATTACCCGCAGGCCAGAGTGTAGGCGGGCCGACTGTATAAATCCTGGTTGAGCTTCAGTTTGGGGCCTCCAGAACCTCCCAGTAAATTCAGTAGAGTTCGGGGTTAGTAGGCTTTTGTCCTATCGTGGCCGAGTGGGTTAAGACATGTGTCTGTGAATCACCAGAACGGTTCAAGTCATCCCTTTGACTCAAAATTATTTTCTCATATGTACATTAGAATGACCTTATTGAACTGGGAATGGATACTAATAAACTAAAGTTGATTATTTATTTTATTTGTAAACCTCAATAATTTCAAACCAAAACAATCATAATTTTACATTTACATATAGTGAACAGTATGCCCTCATTATGTTTACCCGACACTCATTTGTTTTTGTGTCAGGTGCGTCGCCAGGTGCGTCGCTCACCCGTCCAGGGCTGCGTCGCCAGGTGCGTCGCTCACCCGTCCAGGGCTGCGTCGCCAGGTGCGTCGCTCACCCGTCCAGGGCAGCGGCGGCGCAGGGCTGTACACACTCAGCTGACGCGCTGCACGTCCCATCTGCAGAGGAATAGTTTTCTCCTTCCGGACACGTGTGTAAGTCATCAGCCTCGGGATAGTAACCAGCAGCCGAACAGAAGTAATAATTTTTGCAATTTGTAGGATCAGCGATCTCGGTGAAGGCAGTGTCGCAGTAGACGGCACAAGAGTCACAACACTCACTTTGGTCGGACTGGCACTCCTCCCCGTTAAAGTAGAGATCAGTAGTACTTGGGTCACATTCCAGTGCGACGGGAGTAGGAAGCACTCCACACAAGAAGTACTTTTTACAGTCGGTGGGATCTGCTATTGCGAAGATATCCGTATTGTTACCACATGAATATTTACATGCTGGTGGACATACACCACATGTATATGTACCAGCTGAATCTACGCAGGCAGATGTATTTGTATCAAATTTCTGGCCTTCAGGACAGACGAACACAGCATCACTCGGATGTCCATTGGCCAGGCAGATGTAATACCTGTTGCAGTTTGTCGGGTCAGGAATCTTAACACCAGCATCGTGGTCACTACAGTCGATGGGGACGCACGCCTGTTTTGTCACCCCTGTTATACCTAGAACCTGCAGGCATAAAGTTAACATTTGATACATTATAATCATATATATTCACACACACACACACACACAGTGTCAGAGTAGTTAATAAATGGGTGGAGGCTGACTCCATACACAGTTTTAAATGTAGATATGATAGAACCCAGTAGGCTCAGGAATCTGTACACCAGTTGATTGACAGTTGAGAGGCGGGACCAAAGAGCCAAAGCTCGACCCCCGCAAGCACAACTAGGTGTGTGGGAACCGACCTGTGAGATTTATATTTGTTTAATTTATATACTTCGATAGCAATTTGTATAATGATAAGTGGACTGTATTTCTGCAATAATCTCATAATCTCACAAATCGATCCTCTACACATTAGGGGGGGGTTTATATTACACATATGCAGCCAATCAAATTACAGTAATAGCTACATACATTGATGAGGTTCCTTCTCTTATAGTACAGCAGGTTAGTCCACCAGGTATAACTAGAGTGTAGACACCAAATTATCCTCTTTGAGGTAGCTTCTATCACCCAGTAACTGGTGCACATAATCTTGCATCCTCGTCTTGACCTGTCAAAAGTGCGCTAGCTGTGAAGCCAGAATCCTATATATGACAAGCTATATCAGAGAAAACACTATACAGTACATGGAACATTAAAGACCTGGCTTAATTACCTTTAGTATGAGGCGATTTCGCGTTCTAACCGGCTAACCCTATATCCTGACATTAATGGCCATAAATGAATGATAAACGGGTTTCGGATAGACACTTAACTTGTATTTGTAGACAGCGTGTTGACAATGGTACACCTTTGGGTTCCATAACACTACGTCCAAGTAAATTTAACAGGAGCCGAATTTGCTCCCGTGTGAGCCTCTGGTCTCATAAACAACAATGGCTGCCCTCCTTCCCCACTCTGACGCCTGGCCTACTTTGTCCAGATTTCAGAAAGTGATAGAAGGGTCACATTTACTCTACTTTAATATTGATAATTAAGTTAATTTATATAAGATGTTTTATGATGGTAAAGTCCAAAGACTAATGTATTTAAGAATAATTCCCAGCAGAATAGCTGGTGAATTATAATGGTATGTGGTGATGATATCCCGTTTTCTTTAGATGGTAATTCCACTACAAGTTACGTTTTCTATGGTTAACTTGTTGGTAATACAGCAGCTATTATCTGTATGATATTAAATGGTGTCGGATTTTCCGACAAGGTGAGTACAAACACACACACACTTTTTGGGGGCTTCGCGGCTGAGCGGACAGCGCTCTGGGGTCGTAGTCCTAAGTGCCCTGGTTCCATCCCCGGTGGAGGCAGAAACAAATGAGCAGTTTCTTTCACCCTGGTGCACCTGTTCATCTAGTAGTAAATAGGTACCCGGGAGTTAGACAGCTGCTATACAGGCTGCTTCCTGGGGATGTGTGTGTGCGTGTGTAAGAGAAATACACATGTTTCACGCGTGTGTAATAATACACTACTATTATGTAGTAGACATAATAGAGGAAAATAAATTGGTTAGAAAGGCGGAGTCCAAGAGTTACTCTGCAGTTACAGACAGTAAATACACAGCCACGACAAAGTGTCACAGGGAGCTGAAACATTAACACATCATTATCTAGGACTATGTGGTATGGTTGAGAGGTTCACCAGTGGTGTCCCAGATCATAAACACACCGAGATCAATTACAGTAGATGGAAAGCAACAATTATTGGAAAAAGATGGAATTTGGGGAAAAAACTTAAAGCTAGGCTAATCAAAATAAACAAAATGACTAACGCCACGGATACTGAAATGTCAAAACGAAGCAATAATTACAAGGGCTTCACTCAGGAGGAAATTAGCCATGCTGGTTTTATGGGCAGATTAGTAAAAGTTGAGCATCTGCAAAAGATTAACGAAGAAAAACTTCACCATTTGGTCACCATTTGGTCCGGGAGACATCTCCCGTCACGTAGGGTGCAGTCGCACCTCCACAGATCTCCAGTATCAGCTCTTGATACTGGTAATGGCTCAAGAGAGCCACCACTTACGGGCTATTCATGCCCGTGCCACCTTTTGGGTGGCTTAATCTTCATCAATCAATCAATCAATCGAAGAAAATCTTGTTTTATTAGCCAGAGAAATACAAAAATACAAAATAAAAATAAGTTTGTAAAAGAAAACATTTTTCAGAAAGAGCTGGAAGTTGTCAGCTTGACAGATAAGGTAAGACCACAGGAAGAACAAATTAAGGAACTAGTGAAATAAAATGAGACATGGAAAATGAAGGGGGAATGAATATGTAGAAATCAACAAAAAGATAGATAGATATGGGAAAGAATTAAGAGGAACTATACAGGCGAGACAAAATATAGAGTTAGGCAAGGAATTTCTAAGAAAAAAATCATGGGCAACTCAAATGGAAAAAGTTATTAGAGGATTGGAAACGTTCAAAGAGGAAACAAAAGAAACATATGCAAGTTGTAAAAGATAAAATAAACTGGCAATAATTTCACACTCGGACTTAGTCCTTTTATGCTACACAAGTTTTCTTTGAAGTAAACAATTTCCAATCCAACTTAAGTTATCCCACTTTACCATGTGCTTCTATCTTTCAGCCAGCATTTCATTAAGCTCTATCAAAAACTTAGATTACGTCACCGTAAATAATATCACAATTACCCACAATTGAGTGCTCCAAATATCCTGGAAGAAAACAATAGCAAACCCATAACAAATGGTTGACCCCCAGCAAAGTTACACTACAGAATTCCCACCAGTCTCTGGTTCTTCAAGATGTATGAATGTCACCTTCGACCATTCATACAACTTTCCCACTATAGATGATCCTTAGTTATATATGCAAGTAAGTAAAAATCAAAAGAAGGCGTCAAGCCGGATAGGCTATGTAGCATTATTTATACGAGACTTTTTACATTCTTGTAAAGCACTAACACGGATAGTGTTTCTGGCAGGTCCTTAATCTTAATTTTCCCTGGAATACGACCCGCCAAATAGTTTAACCAGGTACCCATTCACTGCTAGGTGAACAGAGGCGTACGGTTAAGGATTGACGCCTAGTCAATCTTTCTTGGCCAGGATACGAACCCGGGCGAAATAGCTTGCAAAGAGCGGGACGAGTGCATTACCACTGCGCCACGGGGCCCATCTCCTGTCAAACCAACTGGTTAACAGTCCGACGCAACTCTTCCCAGGGACCCTCACAAATGCGTTGGTACACTTACCGGACATTTTTCAATAGATATAATGTTAGGGTGAGAAAATATGGTTAAAGTATAAAGTGAAAGAACTTGTGCTGGATGAGAAGCAGCGCCACCTCTGGGGTGTGGCAGCAGGTACGGTGGGGTTGATATTCAATTAAGTGGATTGTATATTTCAACTGAAGCAAACAATTACCCGGGTGAGTCAAGCGGGCAAATCCCCCATCCACGGTTTATGGAATTTTCGTCTATTCATTTACCAGGCACTTATGGGCGGCCGACCGGGGTGAGAAGTGCGGGGGCAAGTGCATGATGGGAGGATCCGGTGAAGCTGCAGTTAACTTGGCGCGGCGGCGCCTGTCTCTCTAAAGTGCTAGGGAAGAGGAGATTACATGAGCTCTGCTACACCCTGCGCCGTTACTGGCGTGGGTGTCGTAAGGTGTGTACCTCAACTAGTGTCTTAACTAAATACCAGAACCAAACATTAGTCCGTGAGCCATTCTTACTTGCTTGTTTTAAATATAAATAAAGGAATGTATGTGATGGGAGAGTATAGTTACCAGGCCAACAATGAGGTATAGGACCCTGGGTGACATCCTGGGGGCTCGCAGTGTCTTGTGTCTTGGCTTTATGGACCTCCTTTTGGACTTGCTGGTGTGGGGAATTGATGAAGGAATTTTGTGGTGCTAGGATTTGCTGGTGCGGGAACTTGTAGACGAAGGGCTTGCTAGTGCGGCTGTCATAAGGTAACTGGCCGCCCAGCTAGCTCCCTGGCCTCATGATAAACAACAGGTTACGTGACCTAATAAGCCAGCTGCTGGTTCTCATGTGTTTCTACATGCGCCTAGCCAACCCAACGAACACATTAGCTAAGCTGAAGATATAATGATACATACCACTGGATATGATGACCAAACCACACATCAGAAAGGGAAGAAACGAAGACGTTTCGGTCCGTCCTGGACCATTATCAAGTCATGGAATAGAAGAGATGAAGGTGGCCTCCGAATTCATGATAGAGCTGATGAGTTAGCCAAAGAAAGAATAGAATATAACTTGGATTGCATATAAGCAGTCTGAGAACAATAATACACCAAGAACGTCAACAAAACCTTGTAGATCTGAAGCAGAGTGAAATCTACACTACCAGATCCGTCTATTATCATATTTTCATGCAAGAGGAGCCACACATCTATGGATCATCCAATAAAATCAGCAGACTCCTAGATGTTACCACTGCTCTGCTTAGACCTCGGTTATAGGTATCTCTGGGAATTTACATTACCTGCTGATGCAGAGCTGACCAAATGTAAACTGTATCAACAAATTTATTCACACAGCCTCCGTCACTCTGAATGAAAAATATACGTGAATTTTAGACAGTTCTAGAATAAATGTTCAAGAGATGTGTAACTATTTAATTGAAAATGATCTGCTATCAGAAATCTTAGCCAAATATTCACAGTTTGCTAACTGTAGGTAGTAACTGAATGATATCCAGTCCTCGAGGATCAAGGACTTGATAGTCTCAAGTTCAGTCCCTGAGCGCACGATGTGCCTCTATATCCCTTTCCACTACCGCCTACAGGAAGGGTATGGGGTGCATAATAAATAAACTAAACTAAAAAGAAATGAATAAAACTATAATTTTATTATTGGTCATTCATAAATTATTATTCATAACCTATAAGCGCATATCAATATCATGGATATCAGTAATTCGTATAAACCATAAAGTCGCATTATTCGGTACTTAGTATAGATATCAGCAGCTATTTATTCTGAGAAAATAAAAACTACATGTTGACAAGCCTCGCGCGTCTCCAGCGTGGCGCAGGTTCTACAGCGCTGGTGTTGCCCATGTGCTCACCGCTGGCTTTTTTATGCTATGCCAGTGGTTTAAACTCCATATTGTTTTAAAGATTTAAGTCTATCCTTGCAATGTCGAAGAGGTGAAACTGCAGTTTTATTGACGATCTCCAGAAGGAATTCAAATTTATTAAACTGGACAAACTGCGTAGTGATGGAACAAGAGTGATATGACAATATTTTAATGTCCATTTTTCCGTTTCTCAAGGAGACAGAAGCGACATCAACCAACATCTACCTAGAAAGATAAGGATGCTGAAAAGACTCTGGCTTCTGTTAAAAACATAATGTAATTTATGGTGAGACGTGATGGTGATAGTGAGAGCGATAACATTGCAGCAAGTGAAGCTCTAGTTGGTTATCATACTGTGTGTCCCGGCCAAAGTTTTCGCGCCAATGACAGCTTGTTGACATTGATAAAAGAAAATTTATGAACCAAAATTGTCCTCGTCACATACCAAATCAGAATAAATAGTTACCAACATTTTATCATCATCATACATATTGGGCAAAGTAATAGAGGATTTCAATAAAACAAAAGGCATTAATCACTTTAGACGCATAAAACGAAAAAGACATCAAACTTTTTCAAATCGTCGTGCTAGCAGGGGGGTAGAAATAGCCTAAGCTACTCTATCCCTTTGAGATGTATTTTTTCTTGTCTCAATAAACATACTTGAACTTGAATCGTCGTGCGGTAATTTTTGCCAAATTGTGGCGTTTAAGGCAAAAATTACGGAGTTTATTTCCTTACCCGGTGGAACGTGCGACCTACAGTGTGCTATGTTGAAGGACGTAAGTGACAAATTTGTCTTACAAAACAAGATTGTTGCTTTATGTGCAGACAGCACGAACACCATCTTTGTTGGCTGCCAAAATGTGTAGCGAAGACTTGGAACTGAACTTAAGAGGCAGATTACCGGTATTGGTTAAGGCGCTCACATTATGCACAATTGTCTCCAGTGTGCTGTTGACTCTTTACAAAGTGATATTGAATGTTTTACAATGAAAGTATACAAATACATTAATATATACACATAGTTGAAGAACTGAAAAAACCTTTGTGACTGCAAGAAACAATTACGCTAAATTGGTAGAATATGAAAATACAAGATTTTTATCCTTGGGTCCATCAATTGACAGTATTTTAAGCATATTTTATGGGCTTAGTTCTTATGTTCTTTCTCAAGAAAAATACCCTGTTATGTTGCAATTTTTTTGAAGATCTCTGTTTGAAATTGTGTTTGTCATTTGCAAGAGATCAAGTGTCTACGTTGCAAACATACATCAGGAATGACCTAAGGTATATCTTGAGGTTATCTTGAGATGATTTCAGGGCTTTAGTGTCCCCGCGGCCCGGTCCTCGACCAGGCCTCCACCCCTAGGAAGCAGCCCATGACAGCTGACTAACACCCAGGTACCTATTTTACTGCTAAGTAACAGGGGCATAGGATACAAGAAACTCTGCCCATTGTTTCTTGCCGGCGCCCGGGATCACAAGTCCAGCGTGCTGTCCGCTCGGCCGATCGGCTTCCTAGGTACGAGCATTAAGCAACGGGCATGGTATCAATACATTCCAAGAAACAAGCATCATATATAAACATACATAGGTTGCTACAATTGGTGGCAGCGGTGGGATACGAACTCATGCATCTGAAGGATAAGCTGCCACAGCTGTGAGATCAGTACTCAAGGCAAGGGTAAGGGTAAGCTGACACAGCAGTGAGAATAGTGTCACCCCCCCCCCCCCGTGTCGCCCCTCCCGTGCCACTTCTCCCTTGTCACCCTTCCTGTGTCATGCACACACTCCCATCTTCCCACAACTACGTACAACAGCTGTGCATTTTCACTACAGATAAAGATTATGAAACGCACCTTCGTGGGGTTTTTACTCAATGTTTCTCAAGACATTGACGGGTCACTAGATATCATCCGCCTTGTCTTCATCAAATTGAAAAATTGCATCAACCTTCATAATCTTGTAATTTTTTAGGTGAGCATACACAGAACAACATTTGCATACATGAAGGGAACTATGAGGGAGGCGGGGAAACGCCAAGCCATTACGACTATATAGCACCTGGAAGGGGTCAGATGAGCTAGTTACAAAATTCAGTATAAGTCGTCACATCATCAATGGGTTCGAGATATATCACAAGCACAGTTTCTAAATTAAGCAACTGACATATGTGGAGAGCTAAAGTCACAATTGACATGTTTGTCCTGCACACCGCCCCTCATCCAGTGGGCAGCGGTGGATAGGTTACAATCACTTAGTTACTACCTACAAATGGAAAGCAGTTCCTAATGGAAAGCGTGTTATACAATTTTTCTAAATATCTTCTGATATGGGTGCTGACTTCTCAATTCGTGTACCTAATACTTGAAGGCTTTTCTCTGGTTCCTTGTAGATTTTATACCAGCAAGAACAATAAGTAAGGGCTCTGAGTACAATTGCGTCTATTACACTATTCTTATGACTGCCTTTGAGCAGCCGGAGAGCAGTAATATTCCGGGAATCTCAACTAAATTTCGCAAACTTGAGGCAAAGTGAAATTCACACCAGTTACCCCATATATCATCATTCTATTATGCAGGAAGTACCGCACGTCTATGGATCATCTAATAAGGTTAGCAGACTTCTAAATGTTACCACTGCCCATCCCTGCCCTTGTGTGGCAGTGCACAATAGAAAGTTGTTTTCACATATCCACACATTAAAACATTGATTGTAACCATGATATATATGTGCTTCAGCCTACAGTTTAGTTCATTTATTATGCACCCCATACCCATCTTGTGGGCGGTAGTGGAAAGGGTTACAGAGGCACATAATGGGCTCAGGGACTGAACCCCACAATTCATTTAGCTAAGCAAGTTACAATCTTGATGAGCTAGTTACAAAATTCAATATAAGTCATCACATCAACAATGGGTTCGAGATCGACCTCAAGTACAGGTTCTAAATTAAGCAACTGACATGTGGAGAGCTAGTGTCAAAATTTATATGTTTGTCCTGCACACCGTCCCCCATCCAGTGGGCAGCGGTGGATAGGTTACAATCACTTAGTTGCTACCTACAATTAGCAAACTGGGGATATTTGGCTAAAATTTCTGGTAGAATTTCAGTTTAGACCTATTGTCTTATGTATGACCCTCTGTCCTGCGTGACAGTGAATACTAGCATTAACCTCAATTTAATAAGACTATCAAAATCCTCAGATTAGGCAAAATTGTAATTAATTTTGTCAATAAAGATGTTAATAATAATAACTGCTAGGCTTAGGCTTGGCTATAAGTACCTCTGGGAATTTGTAACATCTGCTGATGTAGATTTGACTAAATGTAAACTCTGTCAGCAGAACTATTCGCATACTTTGCGTCATTATATAATGGAATGTGAAAAAATCGCGGAATTTAGAGATAACACCATCAATAGTGTCCAAGAAATATGTAAGTACTTCATTCATAATGATGTTCTGCCCGAAATCATAGCGAAGTATCCAAAATTTGCTTACTGTAAGTAATGCATGCACATGACTGTAAAGCTGCCGCCCAGTTGGGTGGGTGTGCAGCAAGACTAGTAACTGTGTGACTCACCATAGATGTAAAGTGCCTTCTATAGTGACTGTTGTGAGCCTCTTGTTGATCACTTGTGACACAAAAGATTATTGATGTGTGTATTTGTGTGGGTGATTAAATATATATGTGCATGTATATTTGTATACGTATGCATATGTACATGTATATATAACATTAATAGTTTTGTAACTACCGTCAAAAGATTGTTATTTGCTTAGCTAAACGAACTAGAGGGTTCAGTTCCTGAACCGATTATGTGCCTCTGTAATCCTTTACACCACCGCCCACGGGATGGGTATGGGGTGCATAATAAAGAACAGTACATCCTAAGCAGACGTTATATAATGATATTCTCAACAGTAGATAAAAGAAAATTAATTGTTATCTAATACCAGAATAGTATAAAATCTTATCATAATAAGCTACGGGATTTGTGGATCAGTGTTTAAAGGGAATTCGGAAGTAATAATGATACAGCTGATGCCATCTATGGGCAGACGAGAACACTATCAACTGGCAGGTTAATAGTGGCCATAAGATACAGCTTACGCCATCTGTTGACATCAAATTACACTTATAACAAATTACCCCACAAAATACCACTAACGCCATCTCTCTTTTTTCCAACGCACTATAAATAGCCAAACAGGAACCCATAAGGCGGGTTGTTGGGCTCGGGTAGGAGGTTCCAAGCTCCGCCCACAGATGGTATGGGGTGCATAATAAATGGCATATCATTGGTAGATATTCTTTGTTGACATTCACACAATAGCCAATCACAGGAAGGGATCAGCAAAAGGCTCCATCCACTTAATAAATCATCTTTATTCAGCACACCATCCTTGCTTATGACATTCTGCTTCAACTTTAATCTACCTAAAAAGTGAAATGTTAAGTATTTAAAAGCATTAATAAATTGATAATTAAATACTGCAGGATGTAACGAGTGTTACAGAAACATGGGCTGGCTACCTAGCTTGTGACGTCATCAGTGGGGGTTGCCTCACGCAAATAATATCGGCGATACAATGCTCCGGTCTTTCATTGGACTAAATTATTCTGTTAGATGGAAATTTCTGTCGTGTACAAAACGAAGAGGTTGTGTTTGAAATAAAGATAATGTTGTGCAAAAAGACGTATTTCTTAGTTTGCATTTAATTATAGAAAGAGTGTTGGCATTCCCAGCAACAGCCAATCACAGGAAGGTATTTGCTAAAAGTCCGTCTCCTTACTGACGTCTTCAGGAGCGCCACACAGATCTAGCTTATGACTTTCTGTTTCATCTCTTGTATATAAAAAATATGAATAATTCGGTTACTATGATTATTAAAGGTATGAGATATAACAATTGTGACAAAATAGCTAAAGTTTGCCATTAAAAAGAGATCATAGTGGATTTTGTAATAGTTTTATGGAAAGCGTGTTATACAATTTTTCTAAATATCTTCTGATACGGGCGTTGTCTTTTCAATTTGTGTACCTAATACTTGAAGGCTTCTCTCCAGGTCCTTGTAGATTTTATACCAGTCAGCACAATGAATAAGAGCTCTGAGTATAATTGCGTTTAATACACTATTCTTATATCTGTCTGACCATTCATACATATTCCAGTGTTGATGGGTTTAGTATTATCTTCTGTAGTGAAAGTTGTTTTAGGTTCTCACGTTGACATGGAGGAAAGGGAGTTTACCATCATGTCTAGTTCATGGGTAAAGTTAAGCACTGAGTTGCGCATAAGTAGATCCTTTAATCGCTACAATTCCAGGAGGGTTCTCACATATAAAAAATACTGTATATCATTGCTGTATCTTCAATAGATGCGAAGTTTCCCAGTGGTATTGAAGGTTTTCTAGTGTTCATATTTAGAGTAACCATGGGTTTTATTTATATTTTTAATACAACAAAAATTAATTATTATAATGTTTCGATTATTTCTGAGTGGGCCCAAAAATTTATTCCCTAAATAAATGCACATTATTATCATTATGATTGACTAAATCTAGTCCTTGCAGGCGAGATCAGTTGTGAACGCCAGCTAGCGCACAAGTACAAGAGCGCCCAAAATTAACACACAAGACGTGTAGAGACAGGCGTGTAGTTTCTGACTTTGCTTTTATTAATAAATATTACATATTAAGCGTTTACTCTTAATACATATTATTATATATTAGTACAACAATCACACAGTAAATGTAATAGGAGTCTACCCAAAAACTGGCCACAGTCAAGTGTTTTGTGCGTTCGACCATGTTTGTGGGCCTTCATGTGCGAAGTGTAAACACTGTCGGGCGTCCGCAGGGACACTAAAAGAAGCCCCGAAATCATCAAGATTCAAATTCAAATGTTTATTTAGGTAAAGTACATACATACAAGGGGTGATACAAATATTGATGAATTTATAGATAGAGCTAGTACATACAATGCCTAAAGCCACTATTACGCAAAACGTTTCGGGCAGGAAAAACACTAAAGACTAAAATTTAATATTAATTGATAACCTCAAGAAGAGAGGTGATGAAGGCAAACTCCATTCACAACTCTAAATGTAGATATGACAGAGCCTATGTAGGCTCTGGAACCTATTCACCTCTCGATTAAGGGTTGAGAAGCGGTCCCGTAAATTCCCGGAAAGTACAACTAGGTAAGGAGGTGGAGGCTGTAGAGGGTTGGGAGAGGACAGGAGCCTAGTGTCGAGCTGCTTGTCAAGGACTCTCATAGGCACTCACAGGGGTGACCAGCGCCTCGCCTCCACTCCTCTCCTACGGTAAGAGGATCAAGATATTCCATAAGCTCATGGCCCGTCGTCTATATTTAGTCATTTATTATGCAGCTCATGTATGATAGTGTGATAACGGCTCGCGAACTTAACTTCAATGTTCGTTTAACTATAAGAAGTTACAACATTGATGAACTAATTACAGAGTTTGTAAGTGAATCCAATTATAAGTGTAAGTGACAACAATTATAAATAAACATTGACAGTTTATTTATAATTGTTGTTCTTTACAATTATAAATAAACATTGACAGTTTATTTATGATTGTTGTTGACTTAGTTTATAATGGGCCTCATACCCATCACATCGTACTAAAACATGAATATTTTTAAACATATTTCCAATTTAAAATGTTGAATGAGAAGTTAGTAAAGTATCAACACGACTCTTCGCTCTTTGTTCATGAGGCACAGAAACTTTATTGTTAAGTTTTGTTGTTTGCGTGCAGCCTCATCCGCTTTTATTACACACTTCAAGTTGAGAACCCTACGCCATTCTTTCACTCAAGTTTCTTTACACCGAGGACAAGTGGAGGAGTGATGACGCCCCTGGCAGAGAGCTGCCTGACATCCTTCCCTCTATCTTTTTCACTCTTAGAAAGACGTCTGGTAAGAGTGTAAGGAGGAGGATGGGGGTAGGAGTAAAGCTAGACTGGTAGATGGTAATACTATCAGCGGGAAGCAAAGATTAGTGCCCCGTCCGTTATTAGTGAGATATAAGTGGATGAGAGCCCTTGTAATTAGTTCTTCATATCCATGACAATGATAAAGTATGGTTGGTTTACGCCCTGGACGCCAGCAGGTGTGTGGTGTCCAGCATGGCTCACCAAGTAGGCACCCTCACCATTCATTATAGCAATTACTCTGTAGCACTAGACGCTTGTTACTGCCCATTATATATAAGGGTATCTTGTTTGTGTACATACATACAACTTTTAGATCTAAACAATATAATATTATATAGCATTGCTTTCCGGCTTTACTGTCCGTGGTTTCCTTTAGAAACCACGGACCTCTTTACTATCAGGGGAAAGCGCCAAGCCATTACGACTATACAGCACAGGTGGAGGGAGGGTGAGGGAAGAGCTTATATGCATACACAGGTGGAGGGAGGAGGAGGGAAGAGCTTATATGCATACACAGGTGGAAGAGCTTATATGCATACACAGGTGTAGGGAGGAGGAGGGAAGAGCTTATATGCATACACAGGTGGAGGGAGGGAGGGGGAAGAGCTTATATGCATACATAGGTGGAGGGAGGGTGAGGGAAGAGCTTATAAGCATACACAGGTGGAGGGAGGGTGAGGGAAGAGCTTATATGCATACACAGGTGGAGGGAGGAGGAGGGAAGAGCTTATATGCATACACAGGTGGAGGGAGGGAGGGGGAAGAGCTTATAAGCATACATAGGTGGAGGGAGGGTGAGGGAAGAGCTTATAAGCATACACAGGTGGAGGGAGGGTGAGGGAAGAGCTTATAGGGATACACACAGGTGGAGGGGAGGTGGAGCGCGCGCGCCCGGTGGAGGGCTGGCTGGCGGTCGGGGCCTCCCACACATCACACTCTGCGGACCGCACCACCAGCGTCAGGTCAGTCTTGTGCGTACGTATTGTTTTGTTTTTACTTATTTTTGTGCCTTCGTACTAACTGGCCAGATGGTGTAGGTTCCTTAACGCCGTGTTTTCCAAAAACCTCGTCCACTAATCGTATTTTTGTCCCTAAATTTATCTGAAGGCTGCTATCTCTCTAGTGGTCTCGACGGAGGATCAAGTTAGGCCAAATTGCCTAACAAGCCGAATTTTACTGAAATATAATAATGTTCAAAATATTTTCTTATGGAATTATTAAGCTTTCCATTATATCATATATGATACCAATTGTTTTGGGTAATTGGAGTTAAACAGAAATTTTATCAAACTTAACCTAACCTAGCCTAATCAACCTAGCCTAACCTACCTAACCTAACCTAACCTAACCTAACCTAACCTAACCTAACCTAACCTAACCTAACCTACCTAACTTAACCTAACCTAACTTAACCTACCTATGCTAACCTACCTAACATAACTAAGTCAGCAATTAATGTTCTTAATGTACAATATTAGCTGGAATAAACCACTTTGGAAAGAAATATTTGAAAATAAGTCAAATCAATCTGCTTGTTATTATTAATGGCTTGGGGACCAGTCAATCGCTACATATATACTGAATTGGCGTTCTGGTGATTCCCAGATACCTGCCTTAACCCACTCGGCCACGACAGGATAAAAGCCTACCAACCCGGAACTCTACTGAATTCACTGGAAGGTTCTGTAGACCGAAACTGGTACCCCAACCAGGATTTTACGATAGGCCCACCTACATTCTGGCCTAATGTGTTCATATCCATACTAGTTAAGTAGTTGTCTTCCCTGAAACGATCGATCGATCAGTAAGGTGGTCCAGGTGAGGTAGTTCTCGTGCCTATACTCCTAATTTTACGACTGAACCTGATTCGCAGCTATGGGGGTTTAATTCATATACTGTATTCCAATATTTACTAACTCTTCCGCAGATTCATCAGCTTGCGACATTCCCACCGGCTCATCCGAGCTTCAGTCCACTAGTACGACTCCCTCCTCCAGCAGGGGGGTCGTGTCTCGCCTCCCGGGACAAGCACCATGGTGCTGGTGGCGGCGCTCCTGCTGGTGCTGGCCCTGGCTGCTGGTGGTGGGTGAGTTGCAGGAGGACGGGCTTCCTCTCACGCTGTTGGTTGATGCAGAGTATGACTTGTGCATGGTCTTTGGTGGGTTTTCTGGTTTGTGTGGACGATACTTGGTTCGATAACTAGTTTAGGGGTTTGTTGTTTAATATGGCATTATTTCTTCCTACTCTATCACCCATTCCTTTACTTCCTCAATCATTACCTCTCATTTCTCTTCCGTCTCCATTTTTCCTCTCATTTCCCTAATTATTTTTTTCCTTCACCACCACCTGTGTATTTTCCCTGTCTCCTTCTCACTCTCCCCTTCCCCTTACCACCACCTCCGTCTCCCTGCCCCACTGCAGGTCAGGAAGGAAGAGCCTGAAGATCGAGGACATGCTGCCTGCGGGCTACGACAAGATGACGCCTCCCAAGAGGGACGAGCAGCCCACTATCGTCTATTTCCACCTCACCATCATGAGCATCGACTCCATCAAGGAGAGCTCTGTGGTAAGCCGCAGGTCAACTTGGGTCAGCGAGGGAGGGCTGCGGGTCAAGGGGATAATCCTGGGCTCTAGATCAACAAGGGACGAATACTAGATAATGTACGAACGTATAGTCTCATTGCTATCTCATTATTACCTCTCAAGGTCTCATTAGCATTCCTGGAATTCACATGTATAGGTCATTGGGCCTTCTGCAGTTTCCCCATATGTTTGTGAACAAAGACATTGTTTTTCACCTCGCCTAATTCCTGCCTATCTATCCACCACGTACCACAACCTCTTGGGTGGTGTAATCTTCATCAGTCAATTAGTAATATCCATCTTTCTGAAGATGTATTATTAAATACGAAAGTACTTAAGGAATTTCCTATCTCCTTCCCTTTTGACGACCGAAAATCACATTCATTCAACAAATCTACCACTTACGGGTTATTCATGCCTGTGCCACCTCTTGGAATGCTTAATCTTCATCAATCAATCCTTCGTGGACTGATATTGTTCATCGCGTGTTAATTTCTTCTTGATTTTCACACAGTACGAAGGCAATGAGTTGTCTGATTAATACTGTTGCTCTAGTTTTATTTATTTTATGAGGTTTGCAAGTCATAACTTAATATAATAACTTATATGATTTTAAACATTATAATATAATGTTCAAATATTATGATTACTGTAATACATTTGGTAAATTTATTATATAATTGTAATCGAAACCAATTCTTATTTGTTCATTACCATTTATTTTATTTCTATAATATGTTCTGCAATTAGTTTTGCGTGGCATATTTCACAATGACTGGATTTCTTTGCACTAATTGGCTGTTTGTTAGTCAGGTGAGTGTAGATATTGACGCCTTCATCAGGGAAGCATGGTGAGTGAGGGTGGGTAATCAAGGGTGTTGTAACCCAGCCTCACTCTCCCTCCACAGGACTACAGCAGGGACATGCAGGTCTACGCCGAGAACACCGTCTCCAACATCAACCTGCCTGACAGTCAGTCCACTGGGGTAAGACCACAAAATTACAAAAGTCCGATTAGCCGATACAAAATTATATGCAACCAAATCATTAGATATCATATGTAACCAACGCATGAAGCAAGCCATGGAGCCCACGTTTATCACATTCCCCGGAAATGTATTAAAAAAATCAATGCATATATCCCCCAAGCCAGTATTTACCCAGGGATTTTCTACATCTAAACCTATTCAATGTGAATATGTTGTTTCGAGTTCTATTTTGTGTTTTGATATATTTTGCACTCATTGAATATACCCACAAAGACCCACGGGCGTTGGTCGAGGCACCCTGTCCCCGGGGATGGGGGGAGGGGAGGGGTCTGTGCAACAGCTGTATAATGTATTACTGCCATTCAATCTTGTCTAAACGTATGACTCAACTCTCCCAAGTTAATGCCGGGTGATATAAAATAGGTCAAATTTAAATGAGCAATTGGTAGATTGTTGTGAGACTTGAGGGATGCGTCAACTTGAGGGTGGCGGTGACTAACATGAGTTGTCTCCTCCCGCTACACCAAGACCTTCGCTGCCGACGTATTCTTCGCTCAGTCGTGGAGGGACCACCGCCTCGTGCTGCCCACCAACATGACTTCAGACTACAGGTGAGGGCATCACGCCTGTCTTCTAACTTCAGGTGAGGTACACCCACATACACACTTCAAACTACAGGCGACATCATTTCACGTGACTTCAAAATACATGTGAGGTTATCACACGACTTCTGACCACAGGTGAGGTCATCACATCACCACATCTCTGAATAAACAAGCTTAATATGACGTAACAACATTATTTAGGATTTTATTTGCTGGAAAAATGTTAACGTAACGTTGATAAATTAGGATTTGTCATAGCTTCTTATGAGATGTGCCAGTGATAGTATTAGTCCAGTAACTGGAGGAATAATATATGTGTATCTTTCTATTATGTGTGATTTCTTTGTTATATTGTTTTTTCAACATACTTCTTGCCGTGTCTTCAACCTGGCCTTGGTCAGGCTGCTGGACCTGGACTGGCTGGGGCATCTATGGCGGCCAGACGGCTTCTTCAAGAATGCTAAAGAGGTGAATTTCCAGACGATGACGGTGCCCAACCACTACGTGTGGCTCTATCAGGACTTGACGCTCCTCTACATGGTCAAGTTAGTACCCCGTGCCCTCTACTCTTTCCCTCATCAAGTACTTTTATTGAGACAGTCAAATACATCTCAAAGGGATAGAGTAGCTTAGGCTATTTCTATCCTCTTATTGTTTCATTTACAATTATTCTCATTACAGTTATCAGAGTAGAGCACTTGGCCTTGATGAGATGATTATTGTATTAATTACTGATATACACATTAACATGTATATATTTGACGGTCACCGATAGTTAAGTACATCAGGGTATGACCATTACCTAGATGGGTGACCATACGGGAAGCCTCTTTCTTGGCTACTGAGGCTAGAGACCTCGACAAGTATAACAGGCGTCCTGGCCCCAACAACGGTACACCAGCATTACAAGTGGCGTGGCCCTAAATGGGAATTTGTTATATGCTGGTTTTGGTCACACTTTATTGGAAGTTTCCGTGGTGTGTTGTCATTGTGAGGCTACAGTTCCCTGCCTGACTACGGTAGCAGGGAACTGCTACCGTAGAGGTAGAGGTAACAATACCGTACCGTACTGCTAAATTTAATTTTCTCAATAGCCATATTTACAGCCTCGACGCACTCTCTTGGTTGAGGGAAATTCTTAGCACATGTAGATGGCGTTCATTTCGTATTTGATCTGCTTTGGGTTAATATCTCAGAATAATTTGACTGAAGCATTATTACTGGTAATATACACACCAAACTAATCTGTATTTTAAGTTTGAATTTGTTTTACAAGTTGCATTAACTTATTACTGTGTATTAGTAGTGTATTATAAAATGTATTCCACACAATTGAGTTTGTCAGCATATCATTTCATGTAAGACTGTTCAGTTTATCAAGGGTTGGAACACATATGCACATTAAAAGTGGTGTTGCTTTTCAGATTAACCTTGACGCTCACATGCGCCATGAACTTTGCACTCTACCCTCACGACACCCAGGAGTGCAAGCTGCAGATAGAGAGCCGTAAGTGTTCTTGCACTCTAGCACCCAGAGTGCGGTAAAACTCCTCTCCTTTCACTCTCTTTTCCACTCCTAGACTTAGATGCTTAAATATATTCTACAACCTCATCCTTGGTCCCATTGGTTGGGTGTAGGGCCTAAGGCCTATCAACCGTCGGAAGGTTATTAATGCAACCACGGTAGCTTACTGGTCAACTAACAACCAGGGTAGCTTACTGGTCAACTAACAACCACGGTAGCTTACTGGTCAACTAACAACCATGGTAGCTTACTGGTCAACTAACAACCATGGTAGCTTACTGGTCAACTAACAACCACGGTAGCTTACTGGTCAACTAACAACCATGGTAGCTTACTGGTCAACTAACAACCATGGTAGCTTACTGGTCAACTAGCAACCACGGTAGCTTACTGGTCAACTAACAACCATGGTAGCTTACTGGTCAACTAACAACCACGGTAGCTTACTGGTCAACTAACAACCACGGTAGCTTACTGGTCAACTAACAACCACGGTAGCTTACTGGTCAACTAACAACCACGGTAGCTTACTGGTCAACTAGCAACCACGGTAGCTTACTGGTCAACTAACAACCATGGTAGCTTACTGGTCAACTACCAACCACGGTAGCTTGGGGGGGGGGGTAACAGAAATAGCCTAAACTACTCTATCCCTTCGAGATGTATTTTAATTTAGGCTATTTAGAAATTTAAATTAGGCTATTTAGAGTAGTTTAGGCTATTTAGAGTAGTTTAGGCTATTTAGAAATAGCCTAAACTACTCTATCCCTTCGGGATGTTTCAATAAACATACTTGAACGGTAGCCTACTGGTCAACTAGCAAGCCTGCTTTAGTTCTAAGCAGAGCTCAGCAGAGCTAGAGCTTACATAAAATTGGTCGTTATATAAGTCTCGTCCTAACCACCCCCTCACACCTCGATAACACAGGAGAGTGTCAAAGACTTGGTGTAAACCTTCACATAAAATACACAAATACACAACAAGCCTGGATTTGTATCCTGTATTATTATTGTTACCATTAGTGTTATATTAATATTGTTATCATTACCGTGCGTGCGTGTGTGCGCGTGGCCACAGTCTCCCACACCACCCATGACCTGGTCTTCGCCTGGGACGCCGGTGTCCCTCTGGTGGTCAACCACGACATTGAACTCCCACAGCAGATGATTGTTAGCAACGTCACAGCTGACTGTACTCAGGTCTACTCTACAGGTGAGTAGCTCTGCTCGGGTGTACACTATACGTGTGTACTCGGATATACACTACAGGTGTGTACTCGGGTATACACTACAGGTGTGTACTCGGGTATACACTTCAGGTGTGTACTCAGGCATCACTGCACAAGGGACTCAAATTACACTATTAATATCACTGAACAAATAAATGATGAATTACAATTTTTGTTTTGTACTGCCGCGTATATAATTTAGTCCTCGTTAATAAGAACATCGTTTATTGTGATTGACAGGAAATTGTGGTGCTGTTCACTCTGTTCCCCAGCCACAATAAGGGATCCCGGGTTCGATTCCCGACCGGGACAGACGTTTGTACAAGTTTCCTTTTACCTAATGCCGCTGTTCACCATGCAGTAACTATAGGTATCCAGGCGTTGGGCAACTGTTGTGGGGCGTCATCCTGGGGAGGGTCAGTAGTTCAGCCTTGAGGGGGGGGGGGGCTCGAGGACAAGCCGCCTCTCCACAACAAAACTAATTCTTATTAATTATTACACAGGAGTATTTTTGTTAAGGTATTCAACATTGTTGACAGGTAACTTCACGTGTCTGGAGGTGATCTTCAGGCTCAAGCGTCACCTGGGTCACTACCTCTTCCACACCTACATCCCCACCTGCCTCATTGTCATCATGTCGGTATGTTCACAAGTATGTGGGTATGTTGGAGCTTCACCTCCTGTAGATACATCTTTCTCTCCAAGGCGTTCTGTGCCTTCAGCCAGGCACTCAAATAGGCTAAAATACACAACACCTTAATTTACTATAAAGAAAATGCCGTTATTTACTACACAGTTGGCCTAAACGATGAAGATGCCATGGTCAGAGGGTAGGGCCTTTGACGAGTATTGCCTGAGTACGGGCTGATCTGACCTGGCCGTACACACCGTACCTCAGGGAGCAACCGAGCAAAGCTCAGACATAATTAATTTTCTCCTTTCAGCATTTTAATTTCATTTGTGTTTCATCTCTTTTACCATCCTTCATGACTGGCTGCCAGGGTGAACCAGGTGTCCACTTACCACGTCTCTTCCTACAGTCTCTATTATGCATCCTTGTTCTGTATTTGTTCAACAGTGCTCCAGCTCGGAAGAGCTGCGAGGTCGTCCATAACAAAAATAATTCTTAATCGAGGACGATCTGATTGTTCTTCGGATCTCTCGTCATCGTCGAGGTGAAGGTACACGTAAATGTCTGGAGGACCGGCTCCTCGGTAACAAACTTTCTCAGTCCACTTAAATAACACAATTTAATTTGTCTTTTCTATACTAATTCTTTTAAATTTCGTCTCTCACTAATCTCAGTTGACCTTGCATGACTAACTTGTATAATATATTTCCATATCAGTGGGTGTCATTTTGGATCCGGCCCGACATCGCGCCGGCTCGGGTGACTCTTGGAGTGACGTCGCTCTTGACTCTCTCCACGCAGCACGCCAAGAGCCAGGACGCGCTGCCTCCCGTCTCCTACATCAAAGCCATCGACATCTTCATGTCTGCATGTACTCTGTGAGTACTACAGCAGCAAGAACCCGCCTCTCCCGAGATATAGACCACTTCCCGATACAGTTGAATTGGGCCCGGGGGCAGTATTGTCTTAGGTACCGGGCACACAGGACAGTGGGCCAGAAGCCCCACTGTTCTAGGGGCCCCGTGCCGCCATAGTGTTCATGAGAGATTTCTTGGCAGGGTGGATAATTACTCGACCTCTCGCTGCAACGGCCCGGGATTAAAATTCATTTTAAATGTATATTATAATATATATATATGTTCATAACTATCTGACGGTAATCCTGCACGTTAGCGGACAGGCTCACCTGGGTATAGGGGGTCCCAGTTTACAACTTAGTGTGGGGGGGGTCCAAGTGTCCATCTGGCTGGGGGGGGGTTTCCCGGTGTCCATCTGGATGAGGGGGGTCCCAGTGTCCATCTGGATGGGGAAGGGGCCTCAGTGGCCATCATCTGGGTAGGGGCCCCAATGCCCATCATCTGAATAGTGTAATAGCTTTGCCTAGGGCCTTCAATACCGTGCCTGGCGGCCATATTGGAGAAAATCTTCCCCTACCAGGATCACTTACCCAAACTAGAAATCTTCCTCAAGTGTCATGGAAACATTTTGTGAAGAAAACAGCTGCATACTCGTCCCTGCAGTGATATCTGTGGTCCCCTGCACTTAAAGATACATACTGTACTAGTAGTTTCAAACCCCTTCTGGAGAAAAGTTTATTACAGCCTTACCAGCAGTTCCATGTCCGTAGGTTCGTGTTCATGGTGCTCATGGAGTATGCCGTCATCTGTGTCATCATGGGGGACGAGCCTACGCAGCCTCCCAACCCCAAGAAGCGGCCTTTCTTCACAAATATTAAAATGTCCTTCACTAACATCAAGGTTAGTTACCAGACCTGATGGCTCTCTTGCGTGTAATAATTATTCAAAGAAAATGCAAGCAAGTCGTGAGTTACAACACTGTATCATTCATCACAGACAACACTATTTTCCATCACAGACAACACTATTTTCCATCACAGACAACTGTATTATCCATCATAGACAACACTGTATTATCCATCACTGACAAAACTGTATTATACATCACAGACAACACTGTATTATCCATCACAGACAACACTGTATTATCCATCACAGACAACACTGTATTATCCATCACAGACAACACTGTATCATCCTTCGATGCACTATTCTATATAAAAAAGAAAGAAAAAAAAAGTTATATGTTCAAAGTTGATACACAAATACATTTATTTAGATATTGCAGATATAAAAACTATAAACCAAAACAAACATAGATTTTAACATAACAAGATAACCCTAACTTGGATACAAAATCAAATATTCTTGCATATCAAATTCGTCATTAAGAGAGAAGTTATTCAGTACAGAGTACAGTGTTTGCTGCTTAAACACTTGCCAGAACTGTAATATTACAGTGCTGAATTATGGCTTATTTAGTTGGTAGTAGAATATGGTTGACAGGACGAAGTTGTAGCCTGATATGTTTGTAAACAAGTTTAATATTTCATTGTATGCCACCAGGGCAGTGGTAGCTTCTCGGCAGGCAATCCAAGCCGGGCTTCCCACACCCCGGCCACCACCTACTGGCTTCCAGCCTCCCACCCCAAGCACCGTCAAGCTCAGGCTATTTTGGTAGACAGAAGATCCCGTTACATCTTTCCAATATCATTTACTGTCCTCAACATTATCTACTGGATTGCTTTCTGGAAATATTTGTAAAAATTATTTTTTGGCCGCTTTGTTTTAAAATGTATTTCTGTTGGTTGAAAATGGTCTATAATTGTTATATAATTTAAACGTGCAAATGTTATATATATAATAGGTACAACATTTTATATATATACATTATATACAGTATATAATATACATAATACAATATACATTATATATTATATAAATATACATACATACACACAATGGTAGGCTTATATCAAGGTTATCTGATCTACATAAAAGTTGGTCAATGACTAATACTGGAATTTTATTCTCAAAGCTCCTCTCAAAATTTATATAGTATTTTGAGAGTGGCAATGAAAAACTTGACCGGGTATCAATTAAAACATTTATTTTGTGGGAATATTTTATTATAGATACAAGTTTAAATAAAATATCAATAATGAAAACAATACTGAAACAATAGTACTGTATAATGAAGACAAGACAGGCAATGAAGTTTTTAAACTAATGTATTTAGCCCAGGTAGATATATTAACAACACACAAAACCTTTAAACCTCACAACTCCCTTATAAAATATATTTATATAATCTAACTCTTAAAAATATTTGTTTCCAAAATACAATGAAATGCACTATAAAATTCATTACCAGATTAATATATACCAGAAAGCACTGTGAATTTGTAATATTTCAAGAAATTATTCATCTACATTTGGAAAATATAATTATATATATATTTCATGCATTATGTACATGTCACAAAATATTTATTATTTCGAGAACTGTGAAGAGTACATTTCAGCACTATGTTCTTTAAATTACCACCTTTCATTCAAAAGATTTCTAGCACTTTCTATATACTGTATACTGTTCGATGATTTGACTTCTGTTTTATAAACAAAAAAATACTAAAATTCCACAATCTCATTTCAGACTTTTTTGCCCAAGTCGTGTACTCATTGAGCACAGATGATGTACCTCAACTCATGTCACAAACAACATGTTAAAAAATTTTTTTTTGTGCTGTGGCCTTGAATAATGCAGTGCTTCGTCTTTTGAGTATGTCATGTGGCTTCTGAAGATATATATGTGCCCTCAGGTTATGAGACCTGAATATATCTTATGAGGCCTTTGTCTCAGGTCATTTGTCTTATTAATATGTCAAATGTTTCAGATCTTATGGACTCAATGTCTTTCAAGTGCTACAACATAACAAATATCTTCATTTTCTAGTCAGTGGTATGTGTATGTACTACACTTGATATGCTACAAGTCATTATTAATACAAGATTTGCATAGAAAAAAAAGAGTTGCAACATTTCCAAGTATTAAGGGACACAAAACTAAAGGGATGAGGATGCTCACTTGCAATGTTTCATCAATATAATAATAACAAGCAGTAATAGTTTGCAGAACTTCTTAGGATAATCTTAAATTATATATCAATGACATAGTTAAAACTTTATTAAACAAATATATGCTGAATAATTTGCAACATGAGAGAGATTGTAAAAAGAGAGTTGAATTACTAATGTACCATACACTGTACAGTGGAAACAGTCAAAACAAAATGAAACTAAGCAGGAGATGGATGAGCTTAAAGGATTCTGCCTGGGTGTATGATGGGTTGCAACAAAAATAACACACAGTGTTCACCGAATCCTGAAAGCAAAACTAAAAATATCAACTATATAATTTTATTTTAAATACAGTATTTACTTTCTCCCTAGGGATTTTGGTATCATATACACTAATAAAAGCACAATAACTGTGGCCAAAATACAGATTGATTAGACACCAGGGACAAGGTCTGAAAGAATACAGTAGTTTCTTTTGAGCGAGTTTATTCATATCAAAGATGCCAACGAGGCTTGGTATACAGCCTAAATATTTAAGGTGACACATTTACAGCATGTGAAAACAATACTGTATTGGTTATTGTAGCCAAATGCGAACAGCTTTGATGAAAATTTATGAAGAATAGAGTGAAGGCATCCAAAATTCTGAAGCACATTTCCAGTAATTTCTTAATTACAAGAAAGATTTTTGAGTTTAAATTAGAACTAAAACCATACGAAAAGCTATAAGTGTCCACTTGGAGATGAAGAGTAATTGAAAAGTTTTTATTCAAAATCTTGTACAGCATAGCAATTACTAAACTTCTTAAAAATACTATCATAAAAATCATGAAATCAATATTTTCCTGCTTTATAGTGGCTATGAAAACAAAAATGTTCAAGCAGTGAAATTTGGATGATGATGATTTGTGAAATTTCTTGAGAATATGTACATATTTTTATTTATTATGAACATATGAAAGGTATAATGAGAGTAAAGACAACAGATTCATGTAGTTCTGTGGAAACACTGCAAGAGTAAAGTAATCAGTGTAACCTGTCTTCAACTTCCTCTATGCTACAACTTTAATACACTTGATACACAAAATTATCAAGTGCACAAGAGTGAGTGGAACTTACAAAAGGTAACTTTATTTAAAAGTGATACTAAGCTGTCAAATGCTATTCAGTTTTCGTGGGTAAGAATGAGATTCGTCAAAATGTTCACAAGAGCAGCCAAAGTTGTGTCAAGAATATGTGCAGTGGGGTGGCATATACAAATCCTACTGGGCATCAAAAGATTTGCAGAAATTCTACAAAATTATAAAAAAAAAAAAAAAAAAATAGTGATTATAATTTTGAAACTTTTACCTTGCACAAGTACTTTGGGAACACAGTTGAAGAGAGAAAAAGACGAGAACTGACAACATTCCGGAGTTCATGTAATACGCTTCCTTAAACCCACTGGAAGAATACAAATTAATACAAGAGCAATGAATATGCTGTAATTTTAAGTGTCATGACATTAATGATGCCTTTTATTTTAATGGAAATTACAAAATATTACACATTTTAGAGGCTGATCTGTCATAGTTTATGACTATAAATATTACTAACACAGCACAGGGCCAATCTCTGGATGGCATCTTACTTGACACCTCAAAATAGAGAGCTGGACACACACCTTGAGGAATACCACAATAAACCTAACCCAACTCCACCAAGACCACACCTAACTCTGGCTAGACTCCTCCCAAAGGTAGACCAGTGGGCAGTGTGTTTCATAATTACTTTTATTTTAACATTAAACTTATTGAAAATCACAGTGTATGCAACTTACCTTTGGGAGATAAGCATGTTCTGGTATCATTTTATTATGTCATACGTAAAAAACTTTTTTTATTACAAGATAGATGCAACAAAAACCTCGTTGTTGATTATAAGATCATCAACAGCCCAACAAATTTTGATACCAGTAGCATAACTGACATATGAGGTTGGAAGACAGAGTGCAGGTACAGTACTATGAAACACTATGAGCAAGGAATCTTTGACAGTGGAAGATCCAAAAATGGTCAGGGCTCTTTTCAGATGTTAAGAAGTGTGGAGGCACATGGTTACCCAGGGAAGGAGGGGGTTCATTTAAAGTAATTGAATGGGGATAGATTCACTTTTTTTATTAGCTGAAAGTAGAGATTGACTCAAACCTTACCAAGAGAGACCATAACAAATACAAATTAAATTTATTAAAGGAATAAGAGTTAAGCATCACTATTTATCATCCTAGACATCCTTCTAGAGAAGGTGCAACCAGTCATCCAATACATGTACTGTACCAACGTAGCTTATAAATGTACATTCAATAATTACTTCACGGCTCCTTTTAAAAACAACTTTAGTAGGCCAACACGTGCATAGCTTCTAAAATGATCCCCACACAACTGACAACCGTTTCTGCCAGATGATCTTCCTCCTGGTGGCACAACCAAGCCAAGATGATTAATAATCATCTGAATCTAAACTCAGTCACAATAACCACATTCACCCAAACAAACACAATGATCCCTCTAGGTCCCTCCATCAAACTGTGATACCTATACACACACAAGATTCAACCTCCAGTCTTGTATAACCATCACAATGGGCAAACTGTCCAAAACAAGCCAGAACTGTCGCTCGTCATCTTCCTGCAACGCATCTAACGTACTATATATCCAACATGGCGAGTACACTATCTCCAAAAAGTATCTTCACATTCTAAATCAAATTTAATCAATACTTATAGAGAGTAAATATTATTCACCAAGAAATGTACACATACAAGGAAGTACACGGGTTAACACAGTAAACCATCCAATCAATAAGAGCATGGAAAGGAAATCCTTTACCTCCATGTGCCCGGGACCTACATCAATTTACAGCAAGAAATGTGGAGCATCGTTTGAATTTTTAAATAAAGATTAAATAAATCTTTCCCTTTGGATATTTAAGCACTGTTGAGAGTAAGGCAAGTAAAAAAATTAAAACGTAAGGCCGCAAAATGTTGGTAAAATGATATGCATTAATTGTACGTTTAAAGCTCACGAAGACTGAAGACCCAGATGTGTGTATATGGGTCATATGAACAAAGGAACCCGACAAATGTTCTTAGGTGGATACTATATTTGGCAAGAAGTTTGTATAAACATTTACTTTCATGTGATCTTTACTAGTAAATCATACCAATTGTATTATTACTGCTGCATATAATTTTTAGTCTTTTCACAGACTGTAATAATTACTTTTAACAAACAGGTACCATCAATTTGGAATTTGACTGGCAAGAAATGACATGTTTTCCACAGTTTGATCACATATTCACAGTGCTTTACTATAAGAGTACCAGATATCACGTTTATTCTCATCAATATACAAATTATACATAAGATTCATATGATAAATAAATAATATGAAGAGAACTACATACTCTCAAATTTCTGTTTGGTTTTCATTGTGGTCCTTATCTAGTGGTCAAGGTTCAAGTTCCTTGAGAGCCTTCTCCAGTTGATGACGTACATGGTCTACTCTCTCCTCCTGCTGTGCTATATCCTCATTCTGAATCTGGACTGACTAAAAGAACAAATTAATAGTCATGTAATGTTCAATTATATTTTCACCTATAATCTACTTATAGCAATATTTACATTAAAACCTAATTATCTACATAAAACATACTAATTTAATTATGCAGGATGGTGGACCATATATAATGTAATTCTCTGTTGTTGTTGTTTTTCGACAACAGGTGACTATTTCTAAAGTACATGTTGTATGTTTATTATGCAAGTGTACAATCTGATCATCCAGTATTTGCCATGTATACATAAATATCTATCTATATCTCTATATTTTATTTTATTTTATTTTATTTATATATATACAAGAAGGTACATTGGGTTTGTGAGAATACATTGGATAGTACAGTATTTACATTCTTGTAAAGCCACTAGTACGCACAGCGTTTCGGGCAGGGATACATATATCTATCAATATCTCTCTCCATATATCTCTCTATCTCTATATCAATATCCATCTATATCTATATCTCTATATCAATATCTATCTATATCTATATCTCTATATCAATATCTATCTATATATTATCTATCTATATCTCTCTCTCACTATATATCTATATCTCTCACTATATATCAATATCTTTATCTCTCCATCTCTATCTATATATATATCTATCTATATATATATCTATATATATATATATATATATCTCTATATATATATCTCTATCTCTATATATATATCTCTCTCTCATATGAGACATCTTAACTAGTACAGTATGTCACCTTTCTCCTGTACACTAGTTCAACAAGTGTAGTGTGTGTTGTCCCCTTGCTGTTATTACACATTAAAACGACGACATGCTGACATACATTATAACATTTACAGTAGTAGATAAGGATTATAGCTAATAGTTAAGGATGTAAATTAAGGATAATTATGAATTATATAAAACGATCATGGATATCGATTTTAAATTAATTATGCATAATGATAAAGGAGACATAACATTATAATTTCAATGATTGTAGATATTTATTTTCACAAACTGTTCACTGATAATTGCGCTCAAAGTACTATACATAATCACTGCAGAAAGAATGATTATAAATAACTACAAATAATAAGCAAAATTCTTCTTTGTACAACATTCATATTCCTATCATCAATACTACACAACCCTAGTAGTGGAGATATCAAGTTTTCCCGCATTTACGTGCTTTCTCCCCTTCAAATGCTCCACATGTAATGTTATTAAAGCAGTTTCTAACCTTCCAACTCTGGCATTTATTAATGAAAACAAGGGGTAAATGTTTTAGATGGTAGGCAAATCAAACTCTGATCTTCAACAAATGCTTCAAGAGCATTTATAAATAATTTTACTAATGAAAGAGGGTTGATGCATTACAATGATGCATCTTACTAAAGCTATCTTTTATGCTTATAATTAGGTACAGTACTTACAATAACAAGTGGTTGAGAAGGGTTTAGAAAAACTCCCGGGTTTTTTTCAAGGTAATGTTTAGCTTCAGTCTGTCCAGTGATGGGGCCTGGGAATAGGTGCAAGGCAGTGGCTACACTCTGAAAACATGAAACAAGCATTAAGAGTATCATGTAAATTGACAATAAAGTATATTTTACAAAACAAGCCAAGCAATACAATAATTTCAGTGTTAATGAAATACAGTACTGTATATATATTTTACTAATACAACAGCAACAGATGTTCCATATTTTTGCACATGCACCAGTACAGTGTAGCTAACAGTAGAAAACTGAATAAAATAAACCTCAAAAAGTCATTAAGTTTTACTATTGGAAAAAATTTACCAAAATTCCTAAGATGGACCTGAATTTTCAACATGTGGGTAGAAAGTCAGGACTTCCATATTGACACAATGATTCAAATACTGCACCTCATGAGTAGGCACAATTTATGACAACTGCACTGTTCTACTACGCGCTAGAAAAATACATCAATAACTTATAATGTATTATACAGTATATACTTATACTGTATATATAAAAAAGTAATTATGCCAAAAATCTGCACAGTGCTGAAGCATTGATGAACTTTTCTAAACCTAGCTGTGTCTCGTGCACCCAACATTGGCTATTAATTAACATGCATATGTTTCTCTTTAGTAACATATGCATGTTACAAAAGAGCATTGCTTAGCATATTAATCAATTTTTGAGACAAGAGAATATGCATTTAGTTCCTTTGGTTTCATGTCTTCATATTCTTCTAGCAAAATACAGTATTATAAAGTTTTCATAAATAAGATGCATATTTTCTGTGGCTGTTTTTGTGCTGGTATCTGAAACCTTATGTGTGAGTTAATGTGTATTTTTTTTTATATTCTGTAACTTTGGTTTCTCCATCCACCCTAGTTAGTTTTTATGGTTGCCCTCAATATTAATGCTACTGCTGTGGCTTTCAACATCAACACTATTTGGCTCTTTGTACAGAATTTGAAGAAAACTGTACAGATTATGCAAAACTGCTTTTACGCATAACATTATATGCCAACAGTGTGATTTCTTTGTATTTTTTAACATTTTCCTATCAAATGCCTAGTGTTTACTCATACAACACAGACATTTAAACAATTAATATTGTAGAGCAAATGCAAAACATTCTGCTTAAATGTATTACAAACACAGCAAAATGTATATAGCAAACATACCTGCAATACTGTCTGGTCTTCCACATTTGGTCCTACAGCCTTCAGTGCTGCTGGCAAGTCAACATTCCTAAGGACCGATGTTTGAGCATCAAAAGCTTGTAGTCCTTGTAACCGCTTTTCCCAGAACAGCTGAATAGAATGAAATATCGTAAATTAAGTTCTTTTCCCCCATTTTGACAACGAAGGAAGGAAAAAATTCCTTCAACCATTATGGTTAAATTTTTTAATTTTAAAATATTCATCTCAAGAGTGTATGTACAGTGCAGGATATAATAAAAACTCCTTTCTGAGCCAAACAAACTGCTGCTTCTTTAGGCAAGGTCCTGTTGGCTTCATGGATAGACTCACACACATTAGGACTCCCCTGTGGATTTCTTGGCGTATGATTGCAGCTTGTCTCAATACAACATAGTAAACGTGACTTCTCAAACCATTATAAAAATTTTGTAAAGAGTAAGACAATTTAGTAGATGCCAAAGCACCAGCAACCAAGAGCAAAGCCTCACAGGATAAGGCAATAAGAGCTAGATGAAAGATTATGAGATAGCTCTGGTAAAAAAAAAAAAAAGGTGTGCTGTACATGGTGCTGCCACCTGGGGGTAGTCCACAGGGGTGTGCTGTACATGGTGCTGCCACCTGGGGGTAGTCCACAGGGGTGTGCTGTACATGGTGCTGCCACCTGGGGGTAGTCCACAGGGGTGTGCTGTACATGGTGCTGCCACCTGGGGGTAGTCCACAGGGGTGTGCTGTACATGGTGCTGCCACCTGGGGGTAGTCCACAGGGGTGTGCTGTACATGGTGCTGCCACCTGGGGGTAGTCCACAGGGGTGTGCTGTACATGGTGCTGCCACCTGGGGGTAGTCCACAGGGGTGTGCTGTACATGGTGCTGCCACCTGGGGGTAGTCCACAGGGGTGTGCTGTACATGGTGCTGCCACCTGGGGGTAGTCCACAGGGGTGTGCTGTACATGGTGCTGCCACCTGGGGGTAGTCCACAGGGGTGTGCTGTACATGGTGCTGCCACCTGGGGGTAGTCCACAGGGGTGTGCTGTACATGGTGCTGCCACCTGGGGGTAGTCCACAGGGGTGTGCTGTACATGGTGCTGCCACCTGGGGGTAGTCCACAGGGGTGTGCTGTACATGGTGCTGCCACCTGGGGGTAGTCCACAGGGGTGTGCTGTACATGGTGCTGCCACCTGGGGGTAGTCCACAGGGGTGTGCTGTACATGGTGCTGCCACCTGGGGGTAGTCCACAGGGGTGTGCTGTACATGGTGCTGCCACCTGGGGGTAGTCCACAGGGGTGTGCTGTACATGGTGCTGCCACCTGGGGGTAGTCCACAGGGGTGTGCTGTACATGGTGCTGCCACCTGGGGGTAGTCCACAGGGGTGTGCTGTACATGGTGCTGCCACCTGGGGGTAGTCCACAGGGGTGTACTGTACATGGTGCTGCCACCTGGGGGTAGTCCACAGGGGTGGCCAAGCAGACCAACTGTTAGCGACAGCTCTCATTTGCAGTCACCAAAGAAGATACGAGTGTTTTCTAGAAATCATATTTTTGTGACCAATTCTCTGTTGGCCATTTTAGGCTGGACTGAGGAATTCCCAGTGACTCCCAAGCATCTAGGCTATTACTCTGCAAGGACATTTCAAACAATCTCTGTGGCACCAGTAGTTAAATGTAATTTAATAATACCTGACTGCATAATCTTTTCCAAGGACCAAGTTGAGGGTTGTTTAAAGGGAGCAGCCAAATGTGATATTCCAGAATCCAAAACAATATTTTACTATACCTGCTTTGGCTTGTCTTGTGACCCATGCTTCATATCGGTCTTCACTTTACTTGATGGTTGCGTCTTGATGACTGTTACAGGTTGCTTGAATATTGAGGCAGTTTGGCGAATTGGAGGAACTAGTGATGCATCATTTCGCATCCCACGACTGAAGTTATTATTAGTGTAATAAATATTAAGAAAGAAAAATACATTTTGTTATAAAAATATATACAGTACTATATATCAAAGTCATAAGAAAAAATATATTTTAACAAATCAACATAAAAATACAATACAGTACTTACATTTCAGGTAAGTACATAAACCATTATCACCTTACCTGTAATCAAATAATGTTCCTCTTGGTTTTTTGTTTTTTCTTGCAAGCATTGGATTTACTTTCCCTGTTCGGAAGTCAAATGATGATAAATCCACTGAATCTCCAATGTACCGTGTCAACTGAGGCTTACTTCGGAACTTTTTTCCACTAGGACTGAAAATAATAATAATATTCATTTAAATTTTCATGCACAGTATCTACAATTATGATAATTTTTGTGCACTTTGAACTTGTTAACATTTTTGGGAGTATATTAAATAAAATGGATCCTGTTAGTACAGATGTTCGACACAATCAAGAATTCTGGGTTTGAATACTAGGCGAGACAGAAATGGTTGGGGGCGTTTCCAATCACCTAATTCCCCTAATTCACCTTATAGTAAAAAAGGTATCCAAGATTTAGTCAGCTTGTTGTGGGGTTGCAACCTGGTGGTGGTCAGATGTTCATCTAGGATAAGGGACCTTGACATAAGTCTAACCTGAATATATGCACGGCTGCCTGTTCCCCAACAAAATTAATTATTAATGCATTAACAATGCTGTTGATACACGACATTATTAATTCCTCGGAAGAGGAACTAATAATGGAGAAGAAAGAGGAGGAGGAGCAGGTAGAGGAGGAGAAGAGGCAAAGGAGGAGGAGGAGGAGGTAAAGGAGGAGGTAAAGGAGGAGGATGAGGAGGCATAGAAAGAGGCAGTGAAGGCGGAGGAGGAGGTAAAGGAGGAGGATGAGGAGGCATAGAAAGAGGCAGTGAAGGCAGAGGAGAAGGAAGACAGCAGAGGAGCGAGAAGAAGCACTGCTTTACTAGTGCTGGACAAAACAATGACAAATTAAAATTGTATAAAGCAATATTATATATAATGACAAGTTGTATATAACAATGCTATATTGCTCATATAGCATATACTGTATTGCAATTGCTCATCAATAAGTCACACATTGATCAAACTGTGAGAGATTGGTTAGTCTCAGTAAGTGGGGACCTGAGGTTGAGACAATAATACACCAATGCACGAAGTAGACCAATGTGCAACTTTTAATAATGAAAAGCAACAGAAGCATGAACATTATTCTTTAACTATATCTAGGACTGATGAAGCCCCACTTAGACTCCATTCTGTAGTTCTGGTTGCCATACCACAGAATGGACATGGTCTAGAGAAAATACAAAGAAAGAAAGACAAGGTACCATGAACATTTCCTACAAAGCCAGACTGATGTCTCAATCTGCACAAAGTAGAAACACAGGATAAGGAGGGATATGATCAAGGTGTTCAAGTGGGTCAGGGGGATATAAAAAGGAGTTCTGAAATTGTTGGAAAGTCAAATCTTATAACAACAGGTATAAGCTACAGAAATTGAGCACAGAAGTCTTGGTTTAGAAATATGGTTGTGGATAAGTAGAATGGATTGGCAGTTAGAATTATTAAGACAGACAATTTAACAAATTTCAACAATAGTTTAGATAGGTATAGTGATGAGAGGATGTATTTATATAAGACCTACCTACTGTAAGAATATAAGAACATAAGAATTAAGGAAATGGTAGGCCTATTGGCCCACAAGAGGTCAATTTTACAAGGGTAAAATAAGGTAATCATGTAGTAGAGGAAGTTGGCAAGTGCAGTATTTTGGGAAGGGAAGAATTAAACAATATATTAAAAAAGGTAGGGAGGGGGGGGAGTTGACTGTGTTTGAGAGTAAAAAGTTAGTGTGGTGATAAAGCCTCTTGTAGAAACTTCTACCACAGCCATCCATGATAGGAAGCGAGGCATTGAGGATATAGATAAATATTTCAAAGTGGATCATCTCGTCTTCCTGAGAGCATTACCTATAGTAGTACACGTCGACCTTTCCTGAAGTGAGACCCGTCTTTCTCAGAACTTCCTCTCTTTTCCAGCCTTTCGGTAAAGCTGAACAGTCATAGCGCCGCTTCTCTATCTGCACAGACATGGTGAGGGGAAGGTTCCTGCAGGAGGTGTCGTCGTCGGTGTCGTCGTCGTCGTCGTCGTCGCCGCTCACGTCTCCTTCAGTTTGTTTACGACCGACGCTCACGGCGCAGGGACCCCTCACCTAAACTCCCCACTCACACTGCCTCTTACTTCTTGTATCATTGTTTCTAACACAAAAACAAAAGTATTAATTACACATAATATTATATATTTCATATTAAGAATTGTGTATAGTTAGAAGACAATAAAAAATATTAAATTTTATCATTTGTGTCACTTGTGTTCTGTTGTAAGTGTCTAAGACTTGGTCTTCTTGCCACATGTAATACTATGTTACCATTTCACATACTTTTAATTTAATGATAAATAATACTCTTATAGCAACTAACAAACCGTACATAGTAAAAATCTATATTTATTTTTGACATAAGATAAATAAAAATAAACAAATCCAGAATCTTCCAGAATATTCCCGGTTGAAATCGAACACGAGAATGATTCATATATTAAACTACTATTATCCTAATTTCGGCCTTAATAATAAAAAATAGTACTTTCAGACACGTATAATAATTTTTAGGAAATTAAATGTGGTAGAATAAGGTAGAGAAGGTGCAGCGAGGGTGAGTGTGGGCGAGGAGTGAGCAGTGCGGCGTGCTGTTGTGGACGTCTTCAACAACTGTACACTAAACACCTCCAAGATGATGGGCGGAGGTCAACCTATCATTGTTCTCAGTAAGTTATACCTCACCAGGGGCAGAAGCCACCATGTGCCACACTCAGAAGTATTTTATTATTATTAAATACGGCGTTAATGCACTTGATGAATGCCTCGTCGGCGCCGCCGCCAAATTTCCATAATAATTGATTCACTGACAGAGGAATTGTAATGTGGGTATATAGTTGTGGTATATGTATGATGTGTTATATGTGTGTGTTGAGAGTATATGTGTGTTTCAGACCAGAACACGAAGCGGGAGAGTGGACGCAAGGTGCAGATGCAGAACATCAATGCTGGCAAGGTGAGCCCCTCTCTTCTCTGTCTCTCTCTCTCCTCACTCGTATATTATCCATGTTGCTATGTTACTATAGTGTCCCTGGTACTGGTGGTCGGGGTCACCACCCCTTCCCGTCACCGTATTAATGCATCTTCTTGGGTCGGTGAGGCTTCCCAGTCACCCACCCAAGTGCTGGCCACACCCATTGATGATTTGCCTGAATGATCTATTGATGGCGTTAGGCATCATCGGTGCCTTGTGGCATTGATGAGTTTCTGATTCAGACGTTGCAGAATAATCCCGGGGTATGATCTGATTACGTCGGTGATGTCGTACACCTCGCAGTACTGTTAATATTCAAAAAATTATGTACAGTATATATATATATATGTATATTATATCATTGTATTTCATATGATGGTTAGGTTTAGACACGGGATGATAGAGCGTGACTACTCTGGGGCTCCTGTTGAAGGTGCTGGTGTTCATCACCAAGCTCACGGGACGAGGCTTCACACAAGTCACTAAAAGGTTTTAAAAGTTAACCTGACTTGCATGTGACCAATGTTTAGCATGGTATTGAAAACTTGCAGAAATACAAGAACAAATGTAACTAAAAATAAAGTTTTGAACAAAATGGTCAATGTGCAAAATTACAGAATTGCCTGCAGTGAAACTAGCTACCAGCAATAATTTCATGGTGCAGTACTAGTTTTTGAGCATCGTGGCACTCAAATTTAACTCAGAGCCGCTGTACGTAGTGGTGGTTATTACAGGACAGACAGTACGAGTCGATAAGGCAGTAATATTTCCTATTTGCTTTACTCGTGAATATGTATAGACTGTGTACCATATTTAAAGAAAATAAATGCAGAGAAGATGCAGAGTCTTGTGATGAGGTTATCAGGTAACAATAGTTGTTGGATTAACAATGGAGTCAAGTCACTCCATTCCCTCTAAATAATTTTCATTGATATAGCATGCAATTGTGATTACATTGGGAGATGTGGGATTATTGTTGTTTCATCTGCAGGCTAGACACGCGCGTGGGTGGGATAACTTTTGTATGCAATATGGTTCACAAAAACCCACCTAATTAACAGTATAGTACATGGTTTTTATAATTAGAAAAGGATCATTTTCACTATGTACCCCAAGAGGATGTAGTTTGGTATAAAAAGAAGCTGCCTCCCAGGAACCAATTAGCCTTCTGTAGTGCCTCATTATGTACTTTTATTTAAAAATAACATTTTAGTTTTAGCATCGGTTTTCTTGCTGTTCAAAGAGTTGCCGGGTATAGTTTTGTGAGCTGATATTTCAGTTTTTTGATGTGAAGGCCAACAGTGATGCTGATATTCTCACAGCAGAGTTTCCAATGGGATGAATAATGCCACTATTAGTTGCTTGTTCATAACTGAAAGTCTAAAGTCAATGATAGAATTATGCCTGGCAAGGACGACTTTGTGGTGGTTAGAAGAGATGGTGCAAAAAGAGCACCTGCAAAAGAGGCTAGTCTTAAACAATCTTGCAGAAGTGTATGTTCACTTCAGTCACATCCTGGTGTGAAGTCTTTCAAAATTTGTCTCTTGGCATCTTGAACATTGTGTTCTTGTGGGAGCAAGTGGTAGACAATGTATGTGTTTGTGCTTTACATCAGAATGTGAAATTGTTAATGGACAGGGTGCAAATTAAATTAATGGAAGACCTGGATATTCATCTAACAGATACCACCATCTGGCAATTAATTTGCAACCCGCTTAAAATAAAGCATGTGTTCTAACAATGTGGCGAATGCACAGGATCTATAATAGTAATAATATAAAGAATATATTTGAAAATGTACTATAATGGAATGCCATTGAAATGTTACCTGGAAACGACTACGTCAGACATGCACACTTGACAAGTCCATTGAAGAACTCATTTATTAATTTCAAAGTTAATGCAACTACAGATGCACTCTTTCATTGCTGACCAAACCACACACCAGAAGCTGAGGAGACGATGACATTTTGGTCTGTCCTGGACCATTATCAAGTCGATTGTGAAACATCGTCTCATCTTATGGTGTGTGGTTTGATCGTCATATCTTCAGCCACGTTATTGTGACTCATCATTTGCCTTTTCATTGCTGTTCAGCAATCAACATACTGTATTTGAAAAGCCTGAAAGATGATACAGTATGGATATTGGTGAAATTGTGTTGTGTGACTTTGCAGAAAATTACTCTACTACTGGAAGACATGGTGCAGGGTTTCCATTGGTCAGATTGAAAAGTCCACTTTTTTGTGATTTGGCACCCTAGGGCTGGACCTGAAGTGAAGATTTGGAAAACCTTAATTACCTGATGAACAAATCTGGTTCTTTATTTTTTGACATTGGCGATTTATGTAGTATATTATGTTTCTGAGCTTGAAGTAGGATATCTTTGAAGATGACCTTATGATAGACTGTTGCGCTCAAGACATCAGCAGTAAACTGCTTGATTATTGCCCTCGCCCACTTATTTCAGCAGCTACAACAACTCTGGTACAGTATGTGCTCTTGGTAGAGACAAGTGGATACAATGCTCAGTGTGCACCCAGCAGTAACCAGCCCCCTGAATGTAAAATGATTGGATACATTGTAGGTTAAAATGACATGAACCTATCAGACTAGTTCATATTTCCCTTTAAACGGTCTGTAGGTGTACACATGTATAAAATATTTACCACAATTTTTCAGATGATAGCTGATGTTATACGCACCTGTCTTGGGCCACGATCAATGTTGAAGATGTTGATGGACCCCATGGGTGGCATTGTGATGACTAATGATGGAAATGCTATCTTGCGAGAAATTACCGTCCAGCACCCAGCAGCCAAGCACATGATTGAAATTGCTCGCACTCAAGATGAAGAGGTTTGTAACTTGTATTTATTTCTTAGTGTTTGTGTACTACTGTAACAAATTGGTCAGTTAGATGAACTACAATATTTGAAGTGCAGGTGGACATTACTGATAGTTTAGGTATGCAGTAATCTCACTTTGGTGAAACAAATTATACTTTCTAGGGCACATCTTGGTATGTATATAGAATGGTATAATTATCCTAATGAGCACTATCTTGTTGAACTGCTGCTGCTCCAGGAAGACATCCTTTGTAATAAACATATTGGTTTATTGGGTGCTCACTTCGTGTTTTTATTTTTTATTTTTGGATGCTTTACTTTTATAATAGGAATTATTGAAATTGTAGATTTAGGTAATTACAAAATGTTTAATCTTCTTAAAGGTTGGTGATGGTACTACCAGTGTTGTAATCCTTGCTGGAGAAATGTTAGCAGTGGCAGAACAGTTCTTAGAGCACAAGATGCATCCTGTAATCATCATCCAAGCATACAGACAAGCTTTAGATGATGCTATTGTAGCACTAAAAAATAATCTCTGGTAAGAATCATTGTTTTTTCCATTTTAGTTTGCAACAAAACAACTTAAGATTAGGACTTGCACTGCACAGTACTTGAAAACATGGGTTTAAATGTTCACAGAAGCGTTGTGAAAAAAGTGTTGTTCAGTATTTCCCTAATCTTGATACTGCATTTTCAAATCTACCAAATTTTATATAGCTAGAAGTTAACTAGAGATTGTGTAATGAGAGAAACATGTACGTTAAGAGATGGAATTTCCCTCATTTCTTGAAGCGACAAGCAAATAATGCAATTTATGTGACTCAAGCTTGGAGAGTATGCTACAGGTATGGCATTTACAACGCCTGGATAAGTAAGAAATTGTGTAGGAGTAGAAGAAACAAGACCATAAACACAGTGCTGGGAGTTTATGGTCTTTAACAATACCTGAGTAGTAAAAGTAAATATCAATCATTTCGTTGGGAAGGGCGGTGGCTCGGCATTTTGTAACTGTAATGCGATTTCACGCCTATATAAAATGATGAATACTTGCGGAAATTTGTACCGATACCAACTTGCCAGCTGATGCTGTCGAAAAACAGTTGCTCCAAAATTGATGCTAAACGTTGTTTTTAGGTGTAATTTAATAGTCGTATTACAGCTATTTTTGTAGAGTTAACAAAATAAACCTCTCGAATGCATTCACAAGGGTGAATACTGATTAGGCAGTCAAGTGAGAAAATTGTTATTGTGCATAGTTGGTTGGTTTCCTATCCTAGTTGTGGTCAAAGAGTATTTGTTATTTTGGTGATATGTGGGTTGCTTTTATGGTGGGGCCACCTGAATCCCTACGTGTCCATTGCCATTATTGAGAGTACCAAGTGTTAGGCCTCTGTTCTTGGTAGGCTGGCAAAAGTAGTCAGGCATGATTTACTGCGGGCTAGAAAGACTTCCATGCAAAAAGATTTACTGCGGGCTAGAAAGATTTCCATGCAAAAAGTTTCATTTCATTACATTGTGTTCTTTCTTTTCTCGGTCATAGAAAAACACATGGGATTAATGGGAAAATGAAGTGCAGATTTATTTTTGATTTACTGTGGGTGTTATATATTTTCTTTAAAATTTAGATGTTCAATATATATGTAGTGGCAGATATGTAATCAAATTAATAATGATGTTCTCTGCTTTAATATTCGATATGTTCCTTGTGGTGCCATTATTGTTGTTCATGTAAAATACTAGTTTCTTGTAATTTTGTAATGTATTTGATAACTGGTGCATCAGGTAGGTGTGTGTGTGTGTGGAGATAATGGGAAGTTAAATGTATTTATATTTATTTTTTTCAATCTACTAGTATTCCAGTCGACCTTAACAGTGAGGAGCAGACAATTGAAGTTATAAAGTCATGTATTGGCACCAAGTTCATGGGTCAGTATGCAGACTTGGCATGTTCAATTGCCTTGCAAGCAGTCAAGACTGTCACCACAGAAGAAGGAGGCCAAAAGGAAATTGATATAAAAAAATGGGCAAGAATTGAGAAGGTGAGTGTTTTCTGGTATTCGACATGTGAATTAATCCTAATTTGCAGGGATTTGCTGCTAAAGGTGAAAGTTTGAGTAGAGGCTGTTGGTGATGCAAAATGTTAGATTGTAATTGTCCAGTTTCCATTTGACTTGTGGCGAGTGTACTTAGTACAACATGCATAATGAAGCCAGTTTAAACATGTTGTTCAATGTTATTCTGACATACTTAACACAGAACAAATCTTCAAAATGATTTACAAACTATTTTGGTCCAACAAAATAAAATATTTTCTTAGTGGTAAATACACAAAAATAATAATGCTGTATGTTTTTAAGTGACAGCTTGTCCTTATCGTTTATCACTGCCATTTAAATCGCCCATGCTGTGCTTACTTATTTACAGATCCCTGGAGGTAAAATTGAGGATTGTCAAGTTTTGACAGGTATCATGGTAAATAAAGATGTCACGCATCAGAGAATGAAGCGGCGCATTGAAAATCCACGTATTATTCTTCTTGACTGTCCCCTCGAGTACAAGAAAGGAGAATCTCAAACCAATGTGGAACTTTCCTCTGAGACAGACTTCACAAAGGTATGTAATTAATATAGAGGAATCTCAGTATACTGAAATCCTTAAGAGTTGAAAGGGGATTGTGAATACCAGAACAATAATTATAGGTTTAGAACTAGGGACTTGAAACTTTCAAATGCTGTAAAATAATCCAGATTGACACTGCCAGAATATTGCCCTATTTTTTATTGCCTTAATTTGCATGCAATATTTTCCATTTTTTATTGAATTCTGTAATTTTTATTTTTATCTTTATTAATGATGAATTTGCATGGTTGTTAAGAGTAAATATTTAATCCGTAAATGCATAAAAAGGTCACTGGTCTTTGTGCTTGCCTTACTAGTGTAATGTACTGTACAGTATATATATATATATATATAGCCTTGCTACTTAAAAGTCTAATATCTGGAGTGGTAATTTTTTATTAATGCTTTTTTTTATCCAAATTCATTGATTGTATTGTCGGTGTAAATGTGCACAAATGTTCCATTATTTGTTATAAGGAATTAATAAAAGTATAGAGCATTTAAAAGTAGGGAATGTGTTTGGGATGAGTTTAGTCTGGATTTTCAAAGGTTCTGATGTAGTTACCTACAGGAGAGGAAATTAACCTCGACTTGTACACATCACCCCTCCCTCCATCTTTTTCCCAGGTAGTTTTTAATAAATTATAATTATTACTTTATTTGTAAAACAAAACTAATTTGATGGAGGTATCAGGTATTGACAGTTTTAGATTTTTTCCATATCGTATATATTTGTTCATTTGGCACTTTGCATTTACTTTGTAATATTGTGTGAAAATGGAAACTAAAATACATGTTCTTTAACTTCTTGCAGATGCTGGAAATAGAAGAAGAACATGTCAAATCCTTGTGTGCAGATTTAATTGCTTTGCAACCAGATCTTATCATCACTGAGAAAGGTGTTTCAGACTTGGCTCAACACTATTTTGTTAAGGCTGGTATCACCTGCATCAGGCGTGTTAAAAAATCTGATAATAATCGAATTGCACGCGCTTGTGGGGCAACCATCGCAAATCGCACGGAGGAATTGAAAGAGGAGGATGTAGGTACTGGAGCAGGACTATTCGAGGTCAAGAAGGTGAGTCGACTTGCACGTATTCCTAACTTTAGCTACTGTTACTCAATATTTTCCGTGGTTGTTGCATCTGTTAAGTAACCAAGTCAGATGAGGAGACTTGTAAAAATTAAGATTTATCGAAAGTGAAGAGAAATTACATTTATTTTGTGATGGACTGGTCACTACACACCCCCTCACCCTCCACTAGCATATAGTGTAGTATAATTAATTTGAGAGTAATTAGCCATTTTACAAAATCTACTGCTGTATGTGTCAAACTTTTAAGCTGCCTGGGACACCAATTATGGTATCGGTCATGTAATCAGTATGAGCTTATAGGCTACTGGCAAAGCAGTACACTTATATTGGAGAAGCTATTAGTTTATAGATCTTTGGATATCATAAGGTATCAAAATTGTACACCACCTTCTCATGGGGGGGGTCTTATTAGTACAGGACAGTTCTGATTGGTTAATGGTTGTTTTAGACCCTGGACCAGATTTTCTGTTTGTTTGGGTGCCCTGCATGGTGCTTGTGTTCCTGGCTTGTAGCCCCTTCTGGTTCAGGGAAGGGAGCTTTCTCTGGAGGCTGCCCTTTTCTTGCTGATGGCAAATGACGTTAAACCAGGGTTTCCCATCAGTGATCTATTGCCTTCTGTTCTGAGGATTCTGTTAACTCAAAATTCTCCTTCAATGGTTGGGGGGGGGGGGGTGCCTGTTGGTTTTCTCTGGTGTTTGGTGGTGGCCTTGGTTAAATTTAAAGGGAGTTAGAGATGAGAGGTCCCAGGGTGGGTCTAAGGGTACCCTTTAGGGCCTCTCATGCCTCGTTTTAAGGGGGGAGTTTGACTCATCACAGATGTTTTTGAATCAAGGTTACTCTGAGGAATGGTTGTTTTGTTTGTTTCTTGAATAAGGAGAATGGCAAACATCTAAAATAGTTTATAACAAAAATTATATTGCCAGGTAATATCTAATTATATGCTTGTTTTAAATGTCAGTGTAAAATTTTACCAACAGATCGGTGATGAGTACTTCACATTCATCACGGAATGCAAGAATCCAAAAGCATGTACCCTACTTCTCCGAGGTCCTAGTAAGGATATCCTTAATGAAGTTGAGCGCAATTTGCACGATGCTCTTGGTGTGGCCCGAAATCTCGTATTAGAACCTTACTTGCTTCCTGGTGGAGGAGCAGTAGAAATGGCTGTGTCTCAGATCCTACAGGAGAAAGCTAAATCTGTGTCTGGCATTAAACAGTGGCCTTATACAGCTCTTGCCCAGGCTTTGGAGGTAATGTAATACCACTTTGTAGTGTGTGTAAATGTGCTGCTGATTTTTCTTTAGTCTCACGTAAACTAATACACACAGTTGACGGAATAACTACTCCCATCACTAACTATAGACTAATGTTACTGACATGTTTTCCACGTAAAATACAGGAGAAAATTACGGAAAAGAGGGTGCAACGAAATAAATCTACAAGGGCCGTGACGAGGATTCGAACCTATGTCCGAGAGCATCCCAGATGCTGCCTTCATCAATTGAGTTACGACATGGTCAAAAGAATTGAAACCAAAAGTTCTACTGAACTTACTTGGATCCTGCAACCTCTGAGACAAACCAGGGTTTTTACATAATTCCCCCATGCACTCAAGCTATGTCAATAGGCTGTTCTACTTCCTCACCCTTACGTCATTATATGTCTGGGATGCTCTCGGACGTAGGTTCAAATCCTCAAGGCCCTTGTGGATTTGTTTATTTGATGCATCATGCTATTGTGATGTGTGTAAAAATGACGCAACATCTGGAGTGGATGTGCTAACAGAGAATGGAAAGCATCCATGATGACCCTGATGACCTTGACAAGACACAGTTGATTCATAAGTAGGAAAAGTAGGCTGAGGTAACTGGGAAGAAACTGTATTAGAATGAAAGGTTTCTTTGCAAATATGAAGCTAGGTTGTAGTGTTGTTGAAAGAAGCTTGGTGCTACAGGTTTCTGTATTTTCTGTTCTTGATTTATTTAATTGTCAACACAATGATACCAAAACAAACTATGTAGCATGAGAATCAAGGTGAGAAAACTGAAACGAGTATACACATTTCGGTGTCAAAGCGCGATCGCCCTCGCACCCTTTAAGTTGGCGGCGCGAAAGCGTTAATTTCCTTGCAGTTGTATATGCATATAATGTCCAAAATCTCGGCGTGACTCCCCGCAGCAACGCCTAAAGTTACCCGTGAACGAGCACCAATTTGCACACCTCAGCCTAATGTGTATACTCGTTCAGTTTGATAACATAAATTTTCGTGTTACATCTTTTATTTTGGTATCAAATTGTTCGCAATATAAAGGTGCATATTTTAAAAATACTGTAGTCCCATAATAATAGAGCAATAACTGGAATTTTAACAAATATTTTAATTTTGAATGCTCATCATCACAAAGTTTAATCTTTATGATTGTCATGTTAAATGTGCATTTTTAGAATTGGCAATAATATTGAAATGGGTATAAAACTAATAGTTTTAATATTTATATAGTCTTTAATCCTTATTTGTTTCATTTTGCACTACAGGTGATTCCACGTACTCTATCACAAAACTGTGGAGCCAATATTATTAGGTTACTGACAGCTTTACGGGCAAAGCATGTAAGCGGAGAAACATTTTGGGGCGTAGATGGAGAAACTGGTGAACTGTCAGACATGAGAAAACTTAAAATATGGGAACCACTTGCCGTGAAATTGCAAGTTTACAAGACTGCTGTTGAGGTAAGTTCGTTATGTGTGGTGTTCCTTGAAGAATTGTCAAAATATTCTTATCAATACTTTTGAGAGGTACTGTACATACCATATTGAAATTTTAGTTTTTGTATGTTATATATTATCATGCATGTGTATCTTGTGTAAAATTTGCATTAGTAAAACAAACTTTTTAATTCTAAAATATTGTAATCGAGTCAGTCATTTATTCCTGACGTACAATTACCACTTATTATTCGGGCTTATTTCCACTTTACCATTCAGATTATGTATTACATTTACTGTTACTCCTGGCTGTTGCACATTCTCAAAGTTGCCTCAACCAAAAAAAAAAAAAAACTTAGAAATGGAAGTTTTTGCCTGTGTATTATTTATAGTAATTATTACAGACTGCTGTACTGCTGTTAAGGATTGACGACATTGTATCAGGATCCAAGAAAAACAAAGAGGAAGCATCTGGTGGAGGAGTGCCACAAGATATGGGACCTATGGACTAATTAAGCAATATGTAGTTAAATGTGAACTGCACTATTCTCTTATTTTCGCTCCTTTGTTATGATTGCCTTACAAAGCTCTGGATTTTCATTTTGCAAATAAAGGAGTAGAGTATAACTAAATTTCTCTTCGTAATACATTTTTTGCCTTGATAATTGTTGTAATCAAGTTTAACCACTCTGCTGATATTAATAAGTCTCATAAATTACATTGTAAGCAAATATTGGTTGTCCACACCTCAAAGCTTCTACTAGTGCATAACATACTGAATGGGGGACCAGCTGAACCATTTCAAAAATTAAGAAGCCACTGAAATGCCTTTTGTTAAAATTACTTAATTACATTTTTACTATACAAGTTCATTTAATTGAAACCCATCTTTTATTTAAGTTTATAACCCAAGAATTACGTTGTATATACTTGTTACACATGTACTATTTAGCAAATGGGGTTAATTTAGAGGTAAGCCTTTAATATTGACTACCCACCATGACATCTTTCATTAGGTCTGAATCTGATCATGGTAGTCAAGAAATGAACATAATCTTTGTGCATCATAAGGGTGTGTGTGTGTGTCAGAAGCATGTAACTCTTAGAATTTTCGGGGTACCCATGGTGGTATGGTCGTGTGAGTGAGTGGATGAATGTACGGTCGTGTGAGCGAGTGGATGATGCAAGTAACATGTGCCGTTCAAGGTTCTCTAGAGTGGAATTTCTAATTTAGAATTGTTGTGGCTGTGTGGATCTCTAGCCTGTGTGTGTAACATGTGAAACCATTTACTGTACATGTACAGAAATGGTGGGTAGTTTATGGCGAGAAATTGGTGAATATTGTTTCGAATGATTTTCTCAACGGAAGTGCAAATGGTTAGCGGCACTTAATGTACTCAGAAATTGAATCCCAATATTCATTTAGGTAAACAGTTACAGCCTTGATCACCTGAAGTGATTCCAAATTTGATGATTGTTACTACAGCGCCCTTTGATCCTCTCCTTTCAAGAGGTCTAAGGCCTCGTCCTCACCACTTTCCCGCAACAGCTGCTACATTACAAGACTTGTTTGGCCTCGCTATGTGACTCAAATATTTTGTAAAATATTTGAGTAATAATATTTATGAAATACATAAAAAGGGAAGGGGGTGGTAGGATAAAAGCACACACAACTATTGGAGGGGACCTAAACATTCCATCTAATGCGTTGTGTGAGATTTCCTACGAGGCTAAGGGTCCTCTTCCAGCCAGAGGTGGTACTCCCTAATTATATATAATATAGTGTATGTGTGACGTGATCTAGAATAGAGCAGTACTATCCTGGCAGGTGTTGTGCCAAATACACATTAATAAAAAACAGTAAAAGTACAGTACAGTAGAATGTAACAACTCTTGTATATATATATATATATATATATATATATATATATATATATATATATATATATATATATATATATATATATATATATATATAAAGTAAATCTGGTACCTATGTGAATTCATGTTAATAACAAAGATGAAGGTAATACTTTATACAAAATGCTATGAGCGTCTACCGTCACCGTAGACAAGGATGGATACGGAAACAATGGTCACTATAAGGGTAATCTGCTACGCTGGACGTTTGTTATTTTAAGATTCAGCTACTCTGACCAAAAAGTTCGAAGTAGCACAGGCTATGGTAAGCCCGTAGTGCAACCGTAGTTGGTAAGACCAACCTGTCCTCTTAAAAATAACGTCACTTTTGGCTCGTATGCTCGCTATGGCCAAATTTGGACGTAATTTGAAATGAAATCCACTCACAAAAGTGACGTACTGTTCCGTTTTCTGGTTGAGTCGGCAAGCTTAGAAAAGGAAACTTTCCATTAACGTTTTGAAACTTTATGAGAATTTCCAGCCCACCTAACCTATCAGAGGACCTTTAACTTACTGTTGAAAAAAAAATCCCAAAATTTATTTTCATTTTTTTTTTCATTTTCAAATTACGTCCATTTTCGGGCAAACGGCCAAAAGCGACTATCTTTTTAAGAGGACAGGTTGGTCTTACCTGGCACAGGAGCAGGGCAAGTAGCACTGGCTAAGGTGAGCCCGTAGTGGACTTACCTGGTACAGGAGCAGAGCAAGTAGCACTGGCTATGGTGAGCCCGTAGTAGATTTACCCGGCGCAGGCGCAGGGCTGTAACCTACGCCGGTTACCTTGCCTACGCCACTGAACGTAGTCCAGCGGCGTAGGCAAGTCCTTTTTTACGGGCTGTGACGTCATACTGGCGCGAATTCGGGTCTTTAGTTAACCGGCAGTATAACGACCATCATGGTTGTTTGGTGGTGGTGTCTGGACAACCGGCGACACTGTTGGTGCGCGGCTCTCCTGGAAGGCGTGGTTAGACAATACGTTTTGGCACGTATTGTTATTGTTTCTTGATGATGTTGAAGCATACGGATATTGCGGTCGAAAGGAATGAATTGAATTTTTCTTTATTATGCACCCCATACCCATACCGTGGGCGGTGGTGTAAAGGATTACAGAGGCACATAATCGGTTCCCTCTAGTTCGTTTAGCTAAGCAAATAACAATCTTTTGACGCTAGTTACACAATTATTAATGTTATATATATACGTACATACACTCATACATACATGTACATATATATATACGTATACATATATCGAAAGGGAACAGGCAGAATCTGCTGTTATGCAGGAGATAACCGTATCAATATACATACACACACCTCTCCTTTGTTCAGACTTTCACTTTACTGTTCTGGTATTTCATTTATGACCTTTTCTTTTTTAGCAGGGATATTCCTGCGCGGGCCCTAAGCCTCTGGCTGGCCTAGTAAGTGTTACTTGTTTCTGTTTTACTTGGGCGGAGTATGAGTATTTAGGACTTGTATGGTCGCTTGAGTAAGATTATGCCCCATGTGTTTAACAACTTCTTCACCTCTGTTGAATCTAAGTTGAAATGTTACACATGTAAGTCGCCTGCATATAATAGTTTTACTATGTGCTTGTTATACATTATGTTACTTTAATATAAACAGTAGAGGAAGAACTAGTGGCGTAAGTGAATGATGGATTACTTATTGATACATGTTTTGCCAATATAAGTCTACCTGCTGGAATATATATATGAATCAGAAAAAAAATCAATGACTCATATATTATTAAAGAGTGTATGAGAAATGTGTGTTGATGATGCGATAGATGTAGTTGTTGTTTAGTGAGGGCGACCTTGCCAGCGCCCCGCGTAACTTGACCCAAGGCGGCAACGACGGCCTGGCCACACCAGCTGGGGACGAGAACCCCCTACTCCACACCCGCCAGGGGGCAACGCGGCTGGGGACGAGAACCACCGCAGTTGACAACTACTCTTATACTCTAATCCAAATATTCTCCTACCAAACACTTTAACTTCTCACTAACGAACATGTTACCAATATACACACTTTGCTAAACTCATATTCAGTGTACTAGAATATGTATGTATAACGCAGGAAGAGGATGAATACGATGATGATAAATTGATGAACAAATCAAAAGGTGTTGTACCTGATCAAGTGATGGAAGAAGGAGCTCAGTGTACCTGTGGAGAGTGCGAGGGGAGGACGCTCGTCCAATGTGCTTGTGACTCCATTTTTTTTTTATAAACGTGGATTTCTTAGTAGTTTGAGGATTAATTACCTTGGTTAATACGGGTCCGGTACTAGGTAAGTGTTTACTTTATACTGACAATCAACTTTTGCTTTAAACGTTCTTGAAGTCATTTGAATTTGGGAATTTCAATGCTGTATTTCCAAAAGGTTTAAATGTATAGGGATGGTTGGCCAGGGGTCAGTACTGGTGGGGTCACTACTGTTGGTCAGTACTGGTGGGGTCACTACTGTTGGTCAGTACTGGTCCTGGGGTCAGTGGTGGTACTGTTGGGGTCAGTACTGGTCCAGTGGTGGTACTGTTGGGGTCAGTACTGGTCCAGTGGTGGTACTGTTGGGGTCAGTACTGGTCCAGTGGTGGTACTGTTGGGGTCAGTACTGGTCCAGTGGTGGTACTGTTGGGGTCAGTACTGGTCCAGTGGTGGTACTGTTGGGGTCAGTACTGGTCCAGTGGTGGTACTGTTGGGGTCAGTACTGGTCCAGTGGTGGTACTGTTGGGGTCAGTACTGGTCCAGTGGTGGTACTGGTGGATCATATATATATAATATATATAATATATTATATATATAATGTGCAAGTGTAGGAACCCTTAGCCTCGGAGAAGAAAATAAAGAGTACTCAGAGAAGACCTTGTGGATCCTCACTGAACACATACATTCTTCTCCTACCACCTCTATTCTTTTTTTTTTGTGTGTGTACATATATAACTCACTTTATTTCAAAATGTAATTACACAAAAAGGGTTACAACATTGGTTACATGCAGGGTACAAGGCTACTTGTCACAGGTTGCAGAGTTCCTCCAGCTCCTCAGATGGCGGGCAAGAACCATGTATGTAGTGAGCATTTCCTCTCTGGATCGCCACACTAAGGGGTGTGTGTGTATAATATATATTATTATTTATAATACAGTTGTGATCAGCACCACCACCTAGCCTGAGTGGTATTGGATGGTGACTGGTATATTGGAGGCTAGAGGACCTGTCCGGTATTCTCCTGAACAAATTTATAATTGATCATAGATTTTGTTCTCTCGTTTTTCTGTGTTTATATTCTTTGTCACGAGTACATTCTGTGTTATATGTCGTCGGGGATAACATTCGTGACTACGGCAAATATTTACATTCCGAACAAAACACACGTGCCATTGAAAGTGCACAAAGATTTAACCCAGACATCAAAAGTATGCGGTAATGTTATTGTGAGAGTTAGTTTTATGCTCCCCAGAGCTTCTAGAGTTACCCATCGCAGTGGAGGGTAGAAATAGCCTAAGCTAAGCTATCCTTTTGAGATGTATTTTGTGGTCTCGATAAACGTACTTGAACCCATCGCGGTTTGGAGATGATTAGTGTATAGGACCTTTCGTAGGTGTGTGAGCGGCCTTCGTGTGTGTGGGGGGGGGGTGGAGCGATGATCGTTTTTGCGGTGTTCGTATCTGTGAAGAGGAGGAGGGGGGGGGGGGGGAAGCGTTATGATCAGCTGGTCTCAATTTGCGCCTAGGACAATAGCCAGGTTATCCTCATAAAAATTTCTCCTCGTCCCCTTTTCTTCCCCCCCCCCCTCCCTTTCTTTCTGCTATATAGTCGTAATGGCTTGGAGGCACCTCTTGGGTGGCTTAATCTTTATCAATCAATCTCATTCACGTAGGAAGGGGAGATTGCCGCTGTATGATAAAAGGCCTGAACACTAACATCAATACTCATGCGTT